CAAGCAAGACCCAACATATTATTCAGTATCCATCAATCTGAATTATTATACCTACATTAGGTTGCACATATCCTTGGTTCTACTTAGTAGCAATTCTCTTTAGGGTCAAACATATCTGTTTAGATATAGCAGCATAGACAGAGCTTAGACTAACTTTAGAGAAGGATAGACTTCTTAGTCTATCATCTTTTCTCATTATTGTGTTCACCATAATGAAGAAGAAATTCAACTCAGAATGATTGATATGAAGAAAGTACCAAACCAATATAATAGTACATTGAAGTTTGTGGTGCTGCATAAGCTGCTATGCTTGTATGAACAAGTGCATTCAACTCTAAAAGGTCTGCTGTTAAGAACATGCTCAAGGTGATGGATCCAAAGAGCTTGGCGTCAGATTGTGCACTGTGTTCCTTATCCAAGTAATTGCTCCTAATTTTCAATGGCTGAGGATAAAATCCAGAAGTTTAGTGAACGTTCAGAAAACTACAGGAGGACTAGATAGCTATGTTGTAATATAGAGTAGGTGGTAAATCAGCTTCCATACCTCACCTGTATGGTGAAGGATGTCCTTTACTGCCAGCATGTCTCAGGTGAGATGACCTTCTCCATCCACCATGGCTGAGTGATAGATCTCAACCAAGTGAGAAAAAAGTTCCAGCATAAGGGAGTCAAATTGTTTGTCATTGGCAAAGGAATAACCACAGATAGAGTTAGTCATATCATTCACAATGTGGGTAGGCAGGCCCTCCAGCATGGTACTGCCTTAGGTAATAGGAGGTATTTCTCCTTAACCTGTTCAAGAATAGTCCAAATGTCTTGACAAAATTTAGAGAAGTCCAAGGTCTCTTGTTTGACCATGATCTACTCAAAGTCAGGGTCAAAGAAGACCTTTAGCTCCTATTGCTAATTCTAAGCCATGGGGAAGATATATTGCTAATACTCAAATAACATGTTAAAGGTGGTTGCATGTCCTAGGGCTAAGACCTTCCAGTGAACCTTTATGATTCGTCTAACACACACGATAATATAAGATAAAGAGATGAGCAAAGCATTAAGGGAATAAGGAAGTGAAAGCACTAACTTGAATTGGAGAACTCACAATCCTTCTGGTACTACAAAGAGTAGATAAGGCAAGCACTGTTGACAAAGTACTTCAATTTTGCCAGATCTAGAGTGAAGTCTATTGACTTGTAAAAGTTACTGTCATGATGCAGAGCTTTGAACTATATGAAGCGCTGGATGCCATTTGCCCAGTTCTCCTTGGCATATGATGCTAGCACCATTCATTAAAATCCATAAAAATTCATATAACCTCTTCATGCTATTACTATCACTGCCTAAGTTGAGGTCCTTACCACTGTTGCTCTGATTCATGTACACTAGAAAGGCATGCAAAGCACTGATCTGGTTAAAATAGGGATTGAAGGAGACCTCTGAAGAATGATCCTGAGGGATTGGCGGTGGTAAGTCTTGCAGTGACCAGGGACCATAGCTACAGTGAGAGGCTCTTTATAGTCCATACAGATAAAGATCTTGAGGTCTGTGTGCATACAAAGGCCAAAGTGATCCAGAAGGTAGGTGGAGAGAAGATAATCTTCACCTAAGAGAAGGATGATGTGACTGTTCGAGTCCAAAGAGATGACTTAAGTCAACTAAAATAAGCCATAAGATAAAATGTGGAGACAAAGACTAACCTGCAGGAACTTCATTATCTGATAGCTGAAAAAGTCCTTAGAATAGAGCAACAGCTGGGAGAAGATAAGAAACTGATAGAGCAGGAAATAAAAACACTAAGCACCATTGACAAGGATGCCTGGGCAGGGTAGTGTGGGCCCTTAAGGATAGATAGTTGAAGGAGACAGGTTAATAAAGGGGTAAATAGAGAGAGAGAGTGAGTGAAGAACACATCAACTTCAGATTGGGGAGTATTGAAAAAACCAGAACTGTTTAATTGAGGGGTAGGGGCTGTGACAAAAACATCTTTGTCTGGAAAGGTGAAAGGCAGATGAGGCAATAGAAAAAGGGGAGATAGCAAGCAACTTATAATACTCAATGTAGTTCTTGAAAGTGGACTTCCTTTTAAATGCACCCAAGTAGGTAGGAACAGGATAGAGAATCATACTATCCAAGGTATGGAATAAGTCATACTCAGAGCCCCTTCAGTGATTATATATGTTTACCACATTTTTGCATGGTGGCTTTGATTCATTCACATTGTTTTTTTTCAGCCAAAACATTCACTGTAAGATTTACTAGGAGCTAGTCATCATAGCTCTCAGTATTCTTGACAAAATTAGGTGTCTTAGAGCTCAAAGTGCTGTGATCATCAGTACTAAGATTCATGAATTTAGGGCAATCAATATCTTACTAACTAGTTGACTTATGTAGTTGGAAGCTGGTCACCAATTTATACAATGGCATCATGAAAGCAAGATCTGATGATTTTCTGCTATTCCTTTATGCAAGTAATATAAGTCTCATTAAGGTTGGTGATGCTTGCACTGTTTGTTTCAACTCAATACTGAGTATGTTTATGACATAAGAATATCTTTATATCTTTCACAGGCCAAGTACCACAACAAACTTATTGTGATCAGAAACACACAAAGGCAATGCAGCCACTCACGTTATTAGTAAAATTACTATTCGTTCTATAGCTTATATTACTATACTAGTAAGTTGTGACTCAGACAACTTTTGACTTGGTACCCTGACTATGAATTGATGAATTCTATCTAGATCTGTTTTGTCCTCTCCAATCAACCAATGTTCAGCATTAGAGGGAATTGTGGATACTTTATAAAATCTGAAGTTTTCTCTGATGCACCAAATGAGATTCTCAGTTTCCAACCTTATCCTTTATGGCACCGACAAATATCATACAGGTCCCCAAAATGAAATCAGAGATTCTCAGCCACACTTCTCATCTGTCTTTTCTGTTTTCTTCATCATTCTTGGATCCCAACTCTCTATTCAACCCTGGATACAGTATCTTTGCTATACACCTGTCACCTCATTTGCCACAGGTGAACACTTTTACCATTATGGTTGCATGCACTTGACTGAGCTTGTCTGATATATTGATGTTGAAGTGGCTCACTCTATAACCAACCCATGGTTATTGTGATCCCTTACTTGTCCATAAGAATATGTAAGAAATCACTATTATATTGATGTTAAAATGATACTAATGATAATATCAGCATTATTTATCTGATAGCTGCTTATTATTTGTATAATATCAAAGGAATATTGTGCAAAAGGAAGCAGTTAATGGTATGCACAGAACATGAAGACTGCAGAATCAAGTGTTGATGTCTCTGATGTTATACTTAGATATCTGGGAGTTTCTCAGTGGGTCTTAGCCAGCCATCTTATATATAAGAGTGACCAGTTCATCTGTAGTGATCCTATTAATAAGGCTAATCTTGATTGAGTATTGAGAGAATCACTCCAGTTTTAGGATTTTGAGGCAGCTCAATGACTAACTGACTCTGTGCTATGTGTAATTTGTAATTGTATTTATAGTCACAGCCATGACCAAATGAGAGTTGTGAATTTCTGTCCTTGCAATGTGTAATCAATGCATACCATGATGTCCTAACCTTAAGTCAAATGTACATTAAGTCTTATGCTAAATTCATGATGGATATACATAAGAATTGTTGATGGACAGTGAGAATGTCCTTTGGGACAGTATAGTTTTGTAGTCTAATATTTCTATTGATTTCTATTGTGTTTATATCATAAATTTTAATATTTCCTACCTCTGAATGCATTTTACATAAATAAAAATGCTGCAGACTGTGTATTCCACCAATAATGCAGGAAGCCTGTCAATTCAGTCAATTATGATACCTGTAGCACACATGAGCTGCCTGAAACTTGGTGAGATAGCTTATGAATTATCTGAACATTATATAAAAAGACCTTTCTTGCATTTCAGATTTCTGTTCCTCATGGAAACAAAGAGTAGCTTGCTCTGGTACTTACAATATTACTGCTCTGTATTCTTGGGTATGATTGCTGCATTGTATTGGTGTAATTCTTGTTAAACTGTGTCTGTAATTCATAACTATAATTAATGTGCATGCTATAAATGAATGAATATACTATTACTATGATAAATGAAAACATTGCTCCTGCTCCATGTTGATCTTGGGGCTTAGTATTCAATATGACTTTCAATTGTCGCAATATCTTGAAATTATGTCCTCAGACAATTGATCTCACAGTTTCTGCATGGTATAATAAAGCCTCATTCCTTTATATCCAGCAATACAATAATGACTTACAAAGTATGAATTTCGGGAAAGATATTTCATCCTATAGCCCTTGGAAGTTAAGGGCACATACTTAGGTAAGGAGTGCAGCACACGAGCTGAAGCCAAGTCCTTTGGATCCAACCCTTTAAGCACATTTTTAATACTCATAAAGTGTGTTAGGGTAGGGTCTGATGTCTTTTAAGACTTCTTATATCAGCATAAGCTACATATTCCTTGTGAACATTACAACTAAATGTCCAATAGTGAGTTGAATGTTGAATAGCCTAAACATCCAAGATCATAGTCTTATGATTATAACTGATGAGTTTACAATGGTTATCTTAAGTGTAGTCCAGATTGGCATCCAATCAAGAGATTATTCTTCTGATTCTGCCTCATTTCTTTGCTATGTATTCATCCTTTCAAACTGCTCTATCTCTTTGTGCCTTTGTAATTATGCCTATGAGCCCTAAAATGTTCACATCATCTATTTGCTACATCTTGTCTAAGCATGTGCTACTACTAAGATTGAAGTCCTGTAAGAAAAACATCCCTGCTGTCTCAAGTATATTCCTATATTTAAAAAGGGTGAAAGATTCATGGACATGAGAGTCATAGATGATAGGGGTTAACATAGTTGAGCAAAGCATGTGGTTAAGCAGCCCAGTTAGAATACCAAGATTAGGTAGGTTTTTTTGCAATTGCTATTTGGGTCCTTTGAATCTCCTGTATGCATCACCTGTTGAGCTCAAACCAGATTGTGGATGGGATCCACAGTATTAGATCTAATTGCAGATATTGAATAGCCTGCATAAAAACCATCCAGAGTAATTCAGCTTACATGCAAATCATAAATGAATAGAGCATAAATAACTGACCTTGCTTTCTATATTATCTAACATGATCCTGGCTGCATGACTGCTGACCCTATACTCATCTCTAACACTATATGTCTTCTTCTTGCAGCCATCGACCACCTTCATAATGTCAAAGCATTCAGCCATGTACACAGAAGATAGCTTATAGACATCGCTATCAGAAATGAAGTTTGCTTGATTGTTGTTCATGTAGATGGACTGTCATATCCCGCGTTCTGGATCCGGACCTATCACACTCATCATTTCCGGATTTCCGGATCCGGCCGACTTCTATGTATCGTCCGGATCCGACCCGCGTCTAACCTCCGTGCCTTATCCCTTTGGTATTTCCCTTATCAGTTAGTACACTTTATTTTCCGTCCCTTATTCATTTCCGTCTTCATTTTACTAAGTTCCGATAGACTAGTGATAGTCGTCCCATATGTTTTATCCATAGCTTTACATAGCCTCGCACTGCACTTACTGTTCTCCGTTATGTCCTCAGTAGTATATAAACCCTGTACAGTCTCTGTAGTTTCCTCAGTTCGAATATTATCTTAGACTCTGCTCATTCTCTCCTCCGTTCGACTTGAGTATCTCTCTCGTCGACCTCCACTCGTCTTAGGATTGATTCCTATAGACTTGTCACCTCCGCCTCTACCTTTGGTAGTCCTCCGCTGTTTCCTTTCTAGTTCGGACTTCATCCGGATTAGTCTTATCTCTTGTTCCCGAACGTCCGCCGGAATTCCCGCGCATCGGACATCGGACTCCGGACATTGCCCGACGCCCTCCGGACATCATTCGACAGCCTTCAGAAGTTAGGGGCATGTACTCGGGTAAGGGGTGCAGCGCACAAGCTGAAGCCAAGCCCTTCGGATCCGACTATTGAGCACGTTCTTAACATGGACTCATAATATAGATTGTAGGTGCTCCTGAATGCTATCTGTGTCTGCTGTGATCTTTCCTATTACATTTCTGCCTGTAGCACACTGTATCTGGACAGCATGTTGTGGTAATGCCCACATCCACCAGAAACTCTTCATGCTTTCAGTCCATCATATATGGCCAGTCAAGGTCAGACAGATTGTAATGCAGGGCCTCCTCTGGTCCTGAGAAACAGCCTCTCTGTCTATCCTTTGTTAGGAGCTTAATTTCTTTTCCCTCCAAAATCAAAAATAATAATTTATATATGCTAATCTCTCTCTGTTGTAGGACTTGAAGTCCTTGTAGCCTCGTAGAGGCTGTTTTTGCGGCATCCCTTAGGTCCTCACACTGTGTACATTTGGTGTGCATCTTTTCCATTGTCGGCTGACGGCCATGGCTCATGCGCGCACTTCGGTTCACATCCACTTTCCTTCAGCTCCATTGCACATTCTTCCTCCGCTTGTCCATTGATGTGTACCTTATCTCATTTATGTTAGACTGACCATATCTCCGAAGCTATATTGCTTATGTTCACAGTACTTGTGTTATGGACCCTTTTTTACATATTACTGCTACCTACTTGGCTCCAAGCAGCGCTTAGCGCACTATCATATATACTTAGTACTTATGACTTTTCATGTATCTTCTTTTCCCCCATTGAAATTATCATTCATTTGCATGCAACACTCTGACTGAAAATCTAAAACTTCGGCCTACTACTGGATGCGCTTCGCTAACAGCAGTGCAAATCTTTGCACTTCATCCATTGCATGTTTCGCTATACTATTCTCCTGTTTCTCCATTGTGTCGCATCGCCTTTGTGTTCCACTAAAGCCTTCTCATATATCCTTCGGCTCTTCCTCATGCTTTTGCGCTTCATCAAACTTTTGGCCACTCAGTCGCACATCATATTGTACCTTTGGCGGCTCACTCACTCTAGCATCGCATCAGCACAACCTTTTGCGCTCCCTCTATTCTCAGTTACTTTTACTAGTTTCAAAGTTTCCCCTCCATATTTTACTTAGAGGAATTGTTCTTATACTTGTGTCCAGAGGTCTATTTGAGTTTTACCCCACTTCACCCTTTCTCACCCTTTCTCCCCTTCTCATCTAGTTATCATTCCTCACTCACACCATTCATCACATATGTGAACTTCCATATGGTCCTGTATGTCTCTGAAGTCATCATCAGAGAGAGATATTATTTTTAAAGGTTCTCATTCACCTTTGCATCTATCTCTACTTCTTACTTTATATCTTATCTCCTCCAAAATGTGCTTAAGGTAAGGCATCTAGCTGTCTTGATGCAGTCTCCTATGGATGGTAGCAGCACTCTATCATAAAATATATCCAAGACCTCCTTTGACATTAACATGATTCTATGACTATTAACCAAATGTTGATGGATCATTCTTAGGAATGCAACATAAAGATTGAGTATTGAGGAAGTAGAGAATATGCGCCCAATAGAAATATGAGGGATGACAGACATGTAAAATATTTTAGACAGTCATTCCATTTTTCCACTAGGACCATTGATATCCTCTTCTGACTATGGTATAATAATATCAACATATGTGTGATTGTGCTTAAATATGCCAGGCTTTGTTTGAAATGACAGAGTGATATAGATCTCCACAGGCTGCATCCTAATAAATTGAAGTAGTGGATTTTGAAAAAGAAGTACATTAATAAGCAGTAGTAAAATAAAAGTACATACTTAGTATATAAGATTAGTTAGTTTTACATTCTTTGAGCATGATTTTGATAAAAGTAAAATTACAAAATATGTAACAGTATTATTGAATATATTTATTTTCTCATTTTCCCCTGCTTCCCATCTCCCATCTCCCATCTCCCATCTCCCATCTCCCATCTCCCATCTCCCATCTCCCATCTCCCATCTCCCATCTCCCATCTCCCATCTCCCATCTCCCATCTCCCATCTCCCATCTCCCATCTCCCATCTCCCATCTCCCATCTCCCATCTCCCATCTCCCATCTCCCATCTCCCATCTCCCATCTCCCATCTCCCATCTCCTCATTTTAAATCATAGAGCTAACATCTTCATCTGGCACATCATTCACTCTCCAATCATCATATGGACCATCTAAGAGAATCAGGTAGTTGCTGCAGCTGAGTTTAATATACCCAACAATCTTATGCAACATGGTAATGCATAGTATGTGTCTGTATCTTCCCTTCAAATACTGACATGCATAATCCAGTGTTGTAGTCTTTCCACTCAATGAACAGTCAGTACTAACAAAGAATGGAAGTCTCTCAATGATGTCATATTGGTATAGAAAGGTCCAGGCAATTTATTTGAAAAATGTGAAACATAAATAGGTAACTATATGTTTCATTCTAGTTGAATCAGTTTAGTCATAGGGTATGTCAAAAAATGTGTGGCTTAACATTTAATTATATTATATACATGTTGACTTTGAAGATCAAAGCATTAAGTATGTATGTTCTTTGATAAGGGCAAACATGAATTTAAAATATATATTGATTTAGCCTCACTGCATTTGTTGGTGAATATGAGCTTGTTCTGAATGACCAAAAGTCTATCATGAATATAAATTGTATTGAAGGTATCTTAAATACAAGATGTGTTGATTTAATTCATTGTGTTTGAAACATCTACACCTACACCTCCTGGTTTAAAGTCTTGTAAACTTTGATTCTCATAACTATGGATTGCATACAACATTTTCTCTGAAGTCGTCAGCTTCAAATATGCTATGGTACTATACTATCGCCTTTTAATGGACATGATGTGATTGGCACTGGTCAGAACATATTTTTTAATTTCTGAGTTTAAAGGACTTCATGGAACTGATTCTGCAGCTTCTCACTTCCGAAATAGATTAGGTCAAATATAATGAATGTCTGCAACTGGAATTCTACATGTCTCTCTCTATAAATTCACTGTATGAGATCTATCCATGAATTTTACAAGATATGACTCACTTGATGAAATGCAAAGGCATCATTTAAGACATCGATGGTGCATGGACCTTCAAGGTGTCTGGACAGTCAGGGAAAGGCTGCTGTCTTGCTCTGCACTATTGTATACCTCTTCATACACTAAGTAAAAAAATTAGTCTCTACAGGCAGATTGTGACCCACCTCGATGTTTCACCTTACATGAATGCTTCTTGCATACATGATACATATTTGTTAATTATGGCCTATATGAACAATGTTCAAATTGGATTTATGCATAATGCTTCTATATCCCCAGATATATTGTGTAGAAACTTCATCTCCAGTACTTAATTTGTCCAGACATTCTTCTATTTTGTATGGATTCTTCTGTTGTCAAGTATTATTAGCACTGATTCATGAAATAGTTGATTGGTGTATTTATCATGCACTTGATACCTCTCTCAATCTACATTATGCTACTACAAACTCAGAATGTACTATTGAGCATATAGATTCCATTGATATGGACAATTCAAATCCTCCTTCAGCAACTAAGTAGAATAAATATATAATGATAGGCTCCAGAATAACATGGAAGTCAACAAAATGATTATGTCATTCAATAAAAATGGAATCCAGTAGATGATGGAGGCAAACACACTTCCTATCATCATTAAATGATTACACATTATGTCAGAGCAAATACTATCAGGGAGCTGGACTGACTTCAAGACATTATATGATATTGAATTTAGAAACCAGCAGCTACTTATCTTAGCATCCAGTCAGCATGTAAGCTGGACACTTACATGACACGTACATGATGCACTTCAATGATGCAACTAACATACCTTATGATGCACACCCTCTGCTGATTGGACACCGTGCATAGTACCTGACCCTATATATATAGAGACACATACGCTGTAGACATCATCTGTTTCTGTACTCTCTCGAATCATATACACTCACTCATGTACTTGCTGTCTGTCTGTATCTGAGTGTGGACGTCAATAGAGACGTCCTTACACTTTTTTTTATGTTCACTGAGCGTAGCTGATAACTGATTCAACTGTACCGTTCTTATTACTGTTATACCGCCAATATCGTCTGTTGGGTATGGACCACCGGTCAAACCCATTATTCAGACAAACTGCCTTTCCAATGATCATGTCCGACTGTCCCTTTAGCCATCACTACTCGAGGCCGCAGCAAACAATTGTCTGCGCCCAACGTATTGACTATGCAAATGGTTTCTGCAGCACCAACATTGGTACCATCCTCGTTAACCTCCATTAATACTGCACTGTCCCCACGTTCCCATTCACGTACACGTACAGATACTAACTCTGATTCAGATTGTGATATCGAGATACCGACAATGTCAACTAACTCAAAATTTGCGCAAGTTGAACAATCCTCGGCTAGCAAGCCACCGTTCCTTACAGCAGGGGAACTCACACCTGAAGTCTTATGCACCTGGGAGATGGGTTGTACCCAATTCTTCTTACACAAAGAGGTGAAAGACGTAGAGATGGTGAAGAAAGTCGCCTGGGGAATGCAGGAACCTGTTATGCAGGACTGGTATAGTAACAACCAGGCGCGCTTGGACGCACTCACCTTTAAAGACTACATGGCAGAAGTATGCAGTTACTGGCTGCCTTCGGGTTGGGCCGACTCAGTTAGGAGGAAGATGCTGGCGTCGATGCAGGGTCAGCAACCTTTCCATGAGTGGGCGGTCAATTTTCAAGGCCAGAACACTCTCCTACGTGGAACATTGTCGCATCTCAAGGACGACAGCATCCTTTACCATCTTGAGGCCCACATGAACTCAGACTTGGCGGCAGATTATCAAGCTGAAAACATCACAGAGACCAAGTTATGCAAGTGGATCGAAAAGGTTTGGCTCCTTGACGAAAGATGTTTACGATATGTCGTGCAACAGAAAGACACCATGGAGGCAGCACTTCGTGCAGAACATGCACGCTCCGCTGGAGGGAAGAAACTGACGGTGGGGACATGTTTCAACTCCAAGGCTGGACAAATGACCAATAATGCTTCGTCTGCATCCAAACCTTTCACGTGTCTACCGTCCTTAACAGAAGATGAATGTCAGCTACTTTGCGATAATGATGGATGCTTTAAGTGTCGTGAGCCTTTCGCAGGACATGGATCTGCTACCTGCAAGAAGGGTTTCCCCAATGGTGCTACATACAAAACCTTGATGGCCGTGCTCATCGTGTCGAAACGAGCAAAGAAGGACAAAGGTATCATAGCGGCCGTAGAGGCAGAGGAGAGTGACACTGTAGCAGTGGTTATGCCGTCCACTGTGCTAGAAGGCTCAGATTCTGGCGAAGAGTGCGTGGCTCCATTACAGACCCCCCATCTCCGCTGGGAATGTTTTGTGGACAGACCAGCTGTTTTTTCTCCTCTAAATGTTTCTGCGCTGATTGATCATGGCTCGTCCTTAGTTCTGATTGGTGAAGGCCTCGTCAACAAACTCGGACTACATTGCCGGAAGCTGCCCAAACCAATTCTGGTCTCACTCGCACTCTCTCAAGACAAATCCTGTATTCTCTTGCATTTTGTGAAGTTATCGTGTAGCTCGCTCGACCAAGCTTACAAGTTTCGCACTGTACGTGCAATTATCACACCAAATCTTTGTACACCCCTACTGTTAGGAGGCCCTTTTCTTGAACATAATTGCATTGTTGTTGACCATGAGCTATGTACTTGTATTGTTAAAGATGCTAACTACAACCTTTTGCAGCACACAGTGCCAAAGCCAACTACAGAACATCTGAAACATGTGTCTGCTTCAGGACCAGACTTATTCTGGATGAAGCATGACGTCGTTCAAGAGCTCAAACACGTTCTCCCAGAGTTGAAAGGTATTGTGGATGCTGAATGTGAGGACGTGAAGGGCATCAACATTGTGGCGACTATCAGTTCGACTATTGCCAGACTGGAGTACCAAGGAGAACTAAAGGCATGCGACGCTTGACTGAAGAATGAGTATAAGGATCGCTTTCCATCTGATATACCACATAACAACACGATGCTGAGCAATGTATTGTTCCGAATCAAATTGAAGGATGCTAACAAGGTTGTTCAGCAGTGTTCTTATGACTGCCCTAAGAAGTATTGTGCGGCATGGAAGACATTACTGGATTCGCACATTGAAAGTGGATGTCTTTGACACTCCGAAAGTGAGTGGTCTTCGCCTTCATTCATAATTCCAAAGGCCGATCCTTCAGTTTTGCTCCGTTGGGTGAATGATTTCAGGTGTTTAAACATCAATACAGTGCCAGACAATCACCCTCTGCCACACATTGACAAAATTTTGAAGGATTGCGCAAAAGGAAAGTTTTTTGGAAAAATCAACATGACTAACACATTCTTCCAGACTTGTGTCCATCCAGACAACATGAAATACCTTGTGGTGCATACGCCCTTTGGGAAATATGAGTGGACAGTGATGCCTATGGGAGTGAGAAACACGCCCGCAGTGCACCAAAGGCGGATGACGGTGGCCTTACGACATCTAATTGGAAAGGTTTGCCATGTGTATCTCGACAATATTATAATTTGGTCTCAGAGCTTGGAAGAGCACGAGTCTAACGTTCATCAGGTCCTGCAGGCTCTACGCAAAGCGCACCTCTATTGCTCCGTGAAGAAGACATCCTTGTTTAACACAGAGATCAACTTTTTGGGGCACCGCATATCCGCACAGGGCATGGAGGCCGACAAATCAAAGACTGCACACGTGGTGGATTGGCCAACACCTAGGAAGGCTTCTGACATGTGCTCTTTTCTAGGTATGGTACGCTACCTATCGAATCACCTCCCCAATGTCGCAAAACATACACGTGTGTTAGTGGCTCTGACGACCAAGGCTGCCGAAGTGCATTTTCCTGTGTGGACCATGGAGCATGTGAATGCATTTGCCGCTATCAAGGACATGGTGCTCAGCCCTCAATGCCTTACTACAATCGATCACGACAGCCCGGGGCAGAACAAGATTTATCTCACATGCGATGTGTCAGATTATGCAACTGGTGCCGTGCTGTCCTAGGGTCCAATGAGAGAAGAGGCTAGACCCATTGCGTTCAACTCAACACAGCTTCATGCGGCAGAGCTGAATTACCCTGTACATGAGAAGGAGCTTTTGGCCATCATGCGCACGTTGAAAAAGTGGTGTTTGGACTTACTTGGTATGCATGTCGATGTTTACACTGACCATCGCACCCTGGAGAACTTCCAGAGCCAGCAGGACTTATCACAGCACCAAGCCCATTGGGCCGAGTATATGTCGCAATACAACATTGATATTCATTATATTCGAGGTGAACTCAACACTGGCGCCAATGCGCTGTAGGAATACAACACAGAGTGGGGCTATACAAAGATGGCTCCAAACTGATATCTTTATGTTGTGGTCTTTTCACTGCCTAGTCTGCTATACTTGGTGAGACAAGTGTGTTCGACCCAGGGGTCTGCGGTCTGGGAATAGTTTTGGGGGTAAGTGAGTGATGTGGGGTCAATAGTCCGAGCACGGTGAAGGTTCAATGATACAGAGAGGAACAAATGAGGCTCTGGACTGTATCTATAAATGTTGTGAGGTTGCGCATTGCCTAGTCTGCTATACTTGAGACGACAAGTGCATTTGACCCTAAAGGGGAAGCGAGTGCAGCAAAGATCTGGTAGTAGGCGCTACTGGTTGGCTGATGCGAAGTGCAGGAAAGCGCAGGTAAGCACAAGGCATGGGAAAGCGAAGGTGCACGCACATGTGAGCGGAAATGAAAGAGAGTAAGATTGAGTTTGCTTAAGTGATGATTAGATACTAGACAAGAGGTGAGAGATGCAAGCTGAGAGATGTTCTATGCGAGGTGCCAAGGAATAGATTTCAACTATCTTCTGCTAGGTAGTAAGTGGGTGAGTGAGTAGGTCAATGAGTAGGTTCATAAGTTTATGTACTGCTGGTGCTTATATATGGCGCCTAAGTGCTGTCATGCGGAGCTGAAGCACTACCAAGTGAGGTATGTAAAGATATATGTAAGTAAGGGTCCATGATATAAATAAAGGTGGAACGATATGCAAATAAGAGAAATGGAAATATATGCACTAGAGAGCTTGGTGGACAGTGGATGGATGCTTCAAGATGGCTGGCGCTATAGGGCGCTCAAGCGTGGGAAAGCACGCGTGCATATGCATCATGAAGCACAGGAAGTGTGCGTGTTGCGCGGGAAAGCTGCGCCTCATATAGGAATAGCTGCGGACAGCATACAGAGTGATGCTGCAAGTTCGTGCCATGTACTCCCTAGTGAAAACTGCCATATCACACAATGAGAGGCATGAGTCTCTACAGCGGGAAACAAAGTCCGAAGGTATAATTACGATGTCCGATGCAAAAGCATCGGGTCCAATGTTTTCGGGGTTTCGGGTTATCGGGTTCAGGTTTGGGGTATCGGAAACTAATAGTAACACTATAGCGAGCGTCAGGAAAGCGAGGGGTGTGCGCAATAATAACAATGACAGATATGGGCGGTGAAGGAACGATGATATTCGCAATGTCAACTAAGAACTATGAAATATCAGGTTTGACCCCTAAGCATCGGAGAATGACTCTCCTCTACTTGGATGATGATAATGCTATGGGAAGTCCAATATTTATGTAGATACATAGAAATCCAGAACCCTATAGGCGAAAGTAGTAGCGCAATATTTTCGGATCCAATGTCCTATGTAATAAGACATGAGGTGCTGCGGAAATGTAATAATGTGGTCTACAATGTTAGCGATGTGAAAACAAGTAACTACGCACCTAGTGGGGCTAGCGCAATGAGACAGGACATAGGTAGGACAAGTACACGCGAAGTCCGATAGTCCAATGTCCAATGTCCAATGTTTTCGGGTTTGGTGTGTATCGAGTCGGATATGATAGGGAACGATTCGGGTAATGATTAGCATTCAACATGCATTGGAAATTAGACCTCTGCAAGGCCACAGAGATGTCAGTCTCTACAGCGCTATCTCGAAGAACCGATGGCTTATCAGCCAAGGAACTCTGCGCATCTCTGCTGATGCTGAAAACACACAATGACATTCAGAAACACATTGTAAAAGGGTATGAATCTGACCTGTGGTGTAAGAAGCTGATTGGTTTGTTAGGCTCGCTCCCTGGGTTGTCTCGAGATGATAAGGGTCTCTTCTACATTGGAAACAGACTGATCATGCCCAGAGTTGATGACCTTCAGGAAATCTTGTTCTGCACAGCACATGACTCAGCAGGACATTTTGGAGTGGACAAGTCTTATGGACTGTTGTAGAGCTCGTACTACTGGCCCAACATGCGCAAGGACCTCATGGAGGCGTACATCCCATCGTGCACGGAGTGTATGAGAAACAAGTCAAGAACAACACCGACCGCTGGCCCACTCCACCCTCTCCCTGTGCCGGACAATCGCGGGGACTCAGTGGCCATTAATTTCATCGGACCCTTGCTGGAAGACCAAGGGTTTAACATGTTGATTTCGATGACAGATAGACTCAATGCTGACATCCGCCTGGTGGCATGCAAGGACAACTTGATGGCTGAACAATTTGTGACATTGTTTTTCGACCATTGGTACTGCGAGAATGGACTGCCATGGGAAATTGTGTCAGACTGTGATAAGATTTTTATCTCAAAGTTTTGGCGAGCATTGCACAAACTGACTGGTATCAAACTTAGGATGTCATCGGCTTATCATCCCAAGACAGATGGGGCAAGTGAATGAATGAACAAGACAGTGAATCAGAGCCTGCACTACTACGTGGACCGTAATCATAAGGGCTGGATGTGAGCCTTGCCCCACGTACATTTTCATATTATGAATACTGTGAACGCAAGCTCGGGTTACTCGCCATTTCAGTTGCATCTTGGCCGTGTGCCACGCATGTTACCACCTCTCATCGACTGCTCGCCTACAAAAGAAGAGCCAGAAGACGTTCATGCGCTATCGTTGCTCAAACGGCTGGAGATGGACGTGATGAACGCACAAGACAACCTCTTGGCCGCAAAGGCGGCCCAAGCGACCAGCGTGAACAAGAGTCACAGTCCAGAACTAAGCTTGAAGATCAGTGATAAGGTCCTGCTCGCGACAAAACACAGGAGAAGGGAATACATCCAGAAAAACGACAAGCACATCACAAAATTCATGCCACGTTATGATGGCCCATACACCATCCTTGACGCACATCCCCAAACCTCAACTTATACTCTGGACCTACCTAATTCCCCCAACATTTTCCCCACCTTCCACGCTAGCCAATTATGTGTGTACCATGCCAATGACACGGAACTCTTCCCGTCATGAGAACACCCAAAGCCGGGACCTGTGGTGACCGCAGATGGACAATCAGAGAACTTCGTAGAAAAGATTATTGACGAGAGGAAGAAGGGATGAGGGACGCAATACCTCATACAATGGGTTGGCTTTGGCGAGGAAGACGATGAATGGCTGCCTAGGAGACAGCTCGAAGACTGTGAGGCGCTGGACGTCTGGGAGAAGGAAAAGGCTCAATGATAGTGGGGAAGGGTGTAAGCTGGACACTTACATGACACACGCCCTCTGCTGATTGGACACCGCGCATAGCGCCTGACCCTATATATATAGAGACACATACGCTGTAGACATCATCTGTTCCTGTACTCTCTTGAATCATATATGCTCACTCACGTACTTGCTGTCTGTCCGTATCTGAGTGTGGACGTCAATAGAGATGTCCTTACACAGCATCATGTGGCAGCATTGAGGAAATTTGCAAATAGGCACTTAGATGAAGCAGAAGAGCTTCCAACATAACTTACATGTCTGGAGGCAAAGGAGGAGATAACAGAGGAGGAGACAGAGGAGCATGCAGAGATTCACACATGACTTAGATTAGTCAAAGGCTACTTGAAACTCATAGGGATGTAGGCTGTCATCCTATATGACAAGGGTAAGTCAAATAGTGCACCATAAAAAAATGTGCATTGAGACTCATATCTTGATGTGATATGACTCAATGTACTGTTCAAGGTGTTTGCTCAGTACATCCGGACATGATACTAGATGCAGCTGATATAAAATGCTCTGCAAGTCTTGATAAGGCTGCATATATAGTGTCATATCTATATGCACTCATATATTAGGCATACTAACTAATGCAACAGACATGTTAGAAGAAGGAAAAGCAGAACTCACCCATCACCTAAGTCGCAACCAAACATTGCACATATATACAAAATCATAAGAGGAACAGCTGATGTTGATGCTATGCAATATGCAGGATGTGTATGATGAGAGCAGACAATATGGAGCCCTGAAAGTCCTCAAAAGGAAATACACATCATCGGGTTATTCCAAGAATTTGAAAGTGACTAAGGTGATCAAGAACCAATAGTTGATGATGACCTTAATGCTAGATCTTTTGCTAATTGAATCTCATTATTGGAGTTGACATGAGTTCACTGTCTATTGGCTTTTACAATCAATAAATGTGGTGATAGGGGTACATACCAGTATTATGATCATCTATTCAAGTCACTGAGGTTGCGAAAAGATGTATATAATCTACATATCAAAGAGCTTTACTATGTTGCAATTATTAGCATCAAAAGATGAGAACTTTCTGAGTTACCAGGAAGTACTGTTGTTGTTAAAGAGATGTGATATAGTTATAGATACACAGAAAGTCATAGGAGACTTGGATCATAATAGACAATTTGCTGTGTCTACTATAATCTATAATCTGCACAATAATAACTGCTAAGCTTCCAAATTTGTTATTTACTATATATACTGATCTTACACCTTTATAGTTTTCCTTCTGCTACAACTAACTACCTTGACATGACTTACTATAGACCTTGTATAGACTTTGTGTGAATGATTGAATATTGGTAATGTTTTAAGTTCATTTACTATAGTGCTGAGCCATATTCTATAGACTACATAAATTATATCCAAATATGCTGCATCCAATGACAATGCACCTACCCCCAATGATATCCAAATTGATGACAGTAAGTAGTAATATGATATTACCCATATTGTTATTTATGAGCATATCACAAAGAATCAAACACCACTAGTAAATAAATGTGCATGGGCAATTTTGAAGCAGTTTCTTACTACTAATATGATATACACTCAGATGGAAGAGCCCTACTATTATAACTCGGTGATTCATATTTTGCAGACAATTGGAAGCTTAAAAATTCAAAACCACTATTTGCTTTGAAGATCACTTCAATAACATTAAAAAAATGATATTTTTTAATCAAATTAACTTTTTTTACTTTGATAATACAGCCACACTTGTAAGTAAACATGTAGCAAATAGTACAGTATTTAACTGGTCCTTGTAACACCACCACTTATTAAAACAGTTAACATTCCTCACTTAATTCTATACCAAATTCCTTCAAATATAATTATTTATTATACTTTGAGAGGCCCTCTTACAGAATTAAGAGCAACTTAGGAAGAAAAAAATTATAATGTACATAAGAAACAGTAATATAACTATGTTTGCCTATTCCTTGAAAATTCTTTAGGGTATTATGGACACATTAGTTACTAGTTTGACTCATCTTTGTGCCTTGAAAGCTCCAACAGGCCACTGTATTCAATTTTGGAATAAGGTTGACTGCAGTAAAGAGTGTCATGGTCTGTTTTATATGTTAATAATGAGGCCATTGTGCTAAGTAACAGAACAACTCATATCACTTAAATTTTATAACTATAGCTGCTTGAATTTTACTATAACAATGATTAGACTACCAAACCAATCACTAAATAAGTCTATGCTGTCTAGCACCCCCTCTGATCCAGAATCCAAAGTCTCTTAGAGTGCTACCAATGGACATAAGGTAGGTCCTATAGGTGTGTGGAGTGCATTATTTAGAACTATAGGATAGGTCATTTTGAGGGTATATGAGGTGCTACTAGTGAATATGGAGGAAGAGGGGAAAATGACAACTATGATCATAACAGCTGCTCTAAGTCCTGGAAGGTTATATCATTATCAGGATCATCATTGGCTGCTAGGTTTATTGTAGCCATTAATGACATTAGAAATGAATTAGGAAGCTTATCGTATATCGGATCGGACCGGACCGGACGTCCGGATGAGACACGTGGATATATGGGATATGACATTAGGGTGATGGGACAAAGGATGACTGATGCAGGCTAGCTGAGGTATGGAGGTAAAGGGATGTGGATGTGGATGTGGATGTGCAGAGGTGCAGGGATCCGGATGGATAGAGGACTGGAGACATGGATAGGGCGTCCGAAGGTCCGGATGAGGCGTGGGAATATTGTCGGATGTAAGTCTGGAATACGGGATATGACAATAGACCACCAAAAAATCAAAATAGGACAAGCCTTTGTACTCCCAGGAAAACTTTATCTCTCCTCAACCTCTCAAAATCACAAAAATGCCTATATCTCAACAACCTCTGCTTCAAATCAGACAAATGAGGGGTCCTAAGAAAGCCCTGAACGAGGAAAATATATCCCCTGAAATGCGATCTGGTTGAAAAAAAATCACTTATCAATGCGGAGGGGGGAGGAGAAGAATATGAAATTAGAGGAAGGAGTGACTGTGGTTGGGTAAAGGAGAAGAGTATTGAGGAATAGGGTGGAGGAAACACCCCTGGGTGAGCACAGAGAGCCTAAAACAAGAAACCCTCACAGTGGGCTCCAGTTGTGAAAACAACAATCTTGCTGGGTGGCAAGAAAATGTCAAGCTATGCCTAGCTGCTAAGATAGAGCTCGTGCACAAACCACCAACATCACGTAATAAAGAGTGACTCTGGTGTGATTTTGTAGTATAAAGTTAATGCCACTTGTAAATCTTAGTTTTTGGAAAATATATTTGCACAGTGTTCTGCGGATTTGGATTTTGAACAACCCTGTGTGGCTGGATTTTTTGAAAACTTAAATTTGTGAGTGGCATTAAGAAAATGAAATGTTATAAGCTATGGAACAGAGATTGTATGCGTGACACATAGGGGAACTAACTTACGAAAACAGTATACCATTCATTCCGCAACTCTTCCAGGTGCAAAAATGCCCAAACGCAAGGTGGGCCACCTGAGTAATCTTCATGGACATGCCAAAATAAACACTAAGAGGACCAGGGTCAGAAAATCACAGAAAGAAGAGAAGGAAAATGTGTAAGTGAGTCTTGGTGACTCGTTGGATGTGTTTTTGCTTCTGACGTTGTTCTCAGCCACTTTGGCTCAGAGTAGATGTATTCCTTGATGCTGCAAAGGTCATAGCACAGTGAGAATCACCTCTACCACCTTCTATCCCATCTCTTGACAAAATATTCACCACAGCCAATTGTGACCAAGACTCTGAGTTGGACGAGCCAGAAGTCATGGTGAATGATGCCAAAAACCTTTTCAGGCCAGAATATGCGAGTTGTAAGGATGATTGTGAGGGTAGTCTTGATGAGGATGGTGATATCTTTGAAGCTGAGGCTCTAGAGGATGGAATTGAGAGTAAGCAAGGTGTTGGAGTGGATGTGACACCTGGAACATATCCAGAGGGCCCACAGTGCACTGGAAGATATTGCATAAGTAGCGCGGGACTTGCATGGGAGCTTCAGAAAGCACCTAAAGTCTTGGAGTGTGCAACTGCTCTTCAAGACCTCAGGGACGTGCTGAAGCCTTGCCAGGACACCAGGAGAGGCTACAAGGACCCTGGCCTGGACAACTGGACTAAAGGACGACTTGAATCAATGGTGACATTACTTGTATATTACACAAACCCCTCCTCTCCTGGATACAAGGCTTGGATGGCAGCATTGTTACTGACTGCAAACGGAAAGGAAATGTTGAGTTGGTGGGCCTGTGATCTTTGTGAGGCAACAAAAGCCTATATTAACAATTGTATCAACATACCAATCAATCTGTATGGTACATGGACATTATCTTGACTTACCAATGACCTTGCCAATGAAATCCATGAACATCTTCAATCCATTGGTGCCTATGTGCAAGCAGAGGATGTCATGGAGTATCTGGACAGGGATGAAGTCAAAATGCGACTGAAGTTAAAGAAAACGATCTCTCTTTCAACCGCAAAGCGGTGGATGAACTCATGGACTATTGTTGGGTCTGGAATCACCGTGGTCAATATGTTGATGGTCACGAGTGCAACAATGTTGTTGATTATCATCAAAATGTTTTCTTGAGGAAATGGGCTGCAGAGGAAGGGAAAATGTGTTCCTGGGGAACAAATCTTGAGAAAATCTGTGGTGCTGAGTGACCCTTATGTATCTGGTTCCATGACAAAAGTACGTTCTATGCCAATGATCGAGGGAAGTCAAGATGGATACACAAAAACACCAGCGCCATACCATATGCCAAAGTTGAAGGGGCTTCTTTGATGGTGGCGGATTTTGTATCAGCAGATCACAGCTGGTTGCAATCACCTGATGGAAAAGAGTCAGCATGGGTATTATTTAAAGCGGGAAAATCACGTGATGGGTATTTCTCAAATGAGGAAATCCTCACACAATGCCAGAAGGCAATGGATATTGTTCAAGCCTCTTGGCCTGATGAGGATCATATGTTTGTCTTTGATAATGTGACCACTCACCTCAAGCGCCCCTATGGCTCATTGTCTGCATGGAAGATGTCCAAGGGGATACCTAAAGTTGGGATGAACTGGGGTGTCAAGGTGATGGCAAGGAACTCAGTAGGCAAGATCATCTATGGTGCTGATGGGAAGCCATCAAAGACAAAAATATGCATGGCTAATGGCACCTTTAAAGACAGTTCTGCCCAGTCATTCTATTTCCTCGAGGGTCATGCACGTGGAGGTGTTTTCAAGGGTATGGCAACAATCCTTGAGGAGCACGGTTACAGCGACATGTCAAACATTCAGGCAGAGTGCAAACCTAACTTCACTTGCAAACCTGGCATCCCATGTTGTTGCTGTTGACAGATGCTATACAATGAAGTTGACTTTATTAATGTGAAATCTACACTTTTTTTTATTTTTTTTTAATTCCAATTTATGTCCTATGGAGAGTGAAACTCTAAGGAGGACAATACTATCTAGTCGTGGGGACCCCCAGTGTCCCCAACGCATCTCTAGGCGTGCGAATGCCCTGGTGTGAAGCGTGCTCCCACCAGTCCGCCGTTCCCGCCGGCCGTTTTAGACACGCCGCCTGTCGAAGATGAGATGACTTTAAATGTACAGTATCGGTGTTCTGTGCTAACGAATATCAAAGTGATAACACGTACTCAACCGCTGACATGGGTAGGTACAGGAGTCAGTAGGTAAGGATTGGAATGAGGAGGGTGCGACCCATAATTGACGGATGGGACAGGCTTTCCGAATCGATCCTGTGAAGGCTGGGATGGCATTGCTGACTCCATGTGAATGAGTGTAGGGATGTGAGGAGATGGGGTGTGTGGGACTTGCGAGGGACTGACAAGGTGGTAGGCGCTTGCTGGCGACCTGCAACATCTGACGTGGGGATGATCAGTTCGGGGATGGGGGAGGAGTGGGGATTTCACCGAGTACGGCTCTCATTCTGCCCGTTGCATTGACATATTTAACCAGGTGGGGGGTAGCGATGGGGTCAGTTAGGAGGAACTGAGTGGAGGAGGCTCTCCTGCCAAGGGCTGCGACAAGGGAGTGGCGTTCTCGTCGGTACTGCAGGCATATGTGTAGGAAGTGGTGTACTGATTCCTCCGTGCCGTGGCAGTGGGGACACGATGAGCTCTCTGATTTGCGGATGCGATGTAGGTGCTTGTTGAGTGGGGCATGACCAGTGCGCAGAAACATGTAGAGACTGGTGAGGCTTTTAGGGAATGTGGCGGTGAGTTTGACAAAGGAGCGTTTGAGTAGGTTGGGGTCAATTTGGTTCAGATGGTAGTAGCGGGGGGAATTACGCCACAGGTGTTTCCACCACTCAGCGGTGTCCTTGCCCTGTCGCTCCTTCAGTGCCAAAATACTGAGGGGGAGCGTGCGTTGACGGAGGTAGCGGGGTAGACGTTCAATGGGGCTGTTGTTGTGATGGCCCTCCGCCGCTAACTTGTCATGTTTGTCTGCTTCTCCGTTGCCGTGGACATCAGAGTGTCCGGGTACCCAACGCACAGTGACATCAAAGCCCTCGTGGTTCTTTGCGATTTGTTGCATCGTTCTGCAGAAGTGGTCTGCTAGATAGGAGCCTGGGCATGTGTAGAAACTCTCACCGGCTTGTATGGAGGCTTGATTGTCAATCAATATAGATACTGGGAATGGTGGGTCACGTTCAGTGGCTAAGAGCCGCGCTGCTAATGTGAGGCCCGTTTCTTCGGCTTTGAATACTGTGTGCTCGTCTTCTGTTCCAAGATGAAAGTGTAAGGTTCTGGGCAGCTGCCCCGCTCTGAATAGGACGGCTGCTGCCCCAATGTTGCCCTTGTGGCCGGAGCCGTCACTGTAAATCTGAATCTTGTCCGTCAGCTGTTCGTATTCAGCGATAGCCTGTTCCTTGCTGGGGGCGATGTGTGTGGTCCAGGGGTTCTTGGCGGAAGGCGGACGCCTGGCTGGGATGAGAGTCTCAACCGTTTGAGGGGAGATTTCGAAGCGATGGGTAAGGCAATGAAGGGATGTGCGATGCGAGGCGACGTAGCGTGTGGCTGCTTTATGAACAGGGATGAACAAGGGGTGGGTTTTGGGGAGGGAGGCGATTCGGGTGATGGCACGATGGCACGCATTTTGAAGGAGAAGAGTGGCGGGGAGGAGGTTGGCGTGGGCCTCGAGGACGTCCGTGGCTGTCGTTCTCATAGCACCGGTGATGGCAATGGTGGCTACTCGTTGAATGGAGGAGATGCGTTTGGTGACTCCAATGGAGCCCCGCTGCAGGGTGTTGGTGCCATTACGGAAAACGGGCGAGAACCATAAGTCCGCAGCGTACAACATTTTGGGCACGGCCACTGCTAGGTAAAGCTGATGCATCAGTCGTAAAGGGAGGCCTCGGGCAGAGGCAGAGAGACAACGCAGCTGGAGTACATAGGCCATTCCTTGAGCTACGGCGTTGTCAACCTGAGCTTTCCATCGGAGTTCTTGATCTAGAATGACGCCCAGAAATCTGTGTGTCTGGACCAGGCGAATGATGGCCCCTTGGATGTGCATGTCGGGGCGGGTTCTGCGCCTGTTCATAGAGAAGTCCATTAGCGCAAATTTGTTAGTTTCAAACCGGGAGTTGTGTGCTCTTGACCAATCATAGCCGCCACCAGGGCATTCCAGCATGTCAGTGAGAGTAGCGTGAGTCTCGGCGAAGGTCTTCCCAATCGCTATGAAAGCTGTGTCATTAACAAAGGCAAGAGTTAGTTCCCTTAGAGCCCCTCGGCCTATCCGGGGTGTGGCAACATCGACCAAGTCCGAACTATAAATAATATAAAGAATCATGGACAAGGGATCCCCTTGTCCGATACCGTTAGTAACAGGGAACCAATCAGAGGTGAAACCGTCGAATTTCAATTGAGTCTGATGACGTGTTAGTACTTGTTCAATGAATTGGACTATCTCAATCAGAATCCTTCTCATGCGCATGTTGTGGATCAGCCTTTCTGTTACCGCATTCGGGAATGCGCCTTCGATGTCCAGGAATAGCATCGAGGCTACTTTGTGGGATCACCAGGCATTTTTGATGGTCTCCTCGAGCAGGTGGAGTGAATCCATAGTGGAGCGTCCTGGTCTTCCCCCAAAGTGCGTGTTTGGCAGTAGCTTGTAGTGTTCTAGAATGTGCGTTAGCTGGTCTGCTACCACTGCCGTGAGGAGTTTCCCAGTGGTGTTGAGCAGGGCAATCGGCCTGTAGGCTTTAGGAACGGAGTAGTTAGGTTTGGATGGTTTTCGTAACACTACCATCGTGAACTCTCTCCAGGGCTGATAGTAGGTACGATGGGAGAACGCCGCATTGAACAGATATTCCAGGTAGGGGATGAGGGTGGCCAAGCATTCCTTGAACATGACGTTGCATATACCGTCGGGTCCTGGGGCTTTATAACCACTTAACTTACCTATGGCGCGTTTGATCTGGGCCGTCGTAATGTAAGCTAGAGGGCCTATGGGGTCGGGGTAGACTGCATCTGGGGGGACAGAACTGTTAGCCGGTGGAAGCAGAAAGAAGGACTTAGCTAATATTTCGCTCTTTTCGTCGTTGGTGGTCGCCTCGCCTTGGGTGCCGTCGGGGTTCGTGATGGAAAGGGAGGGGATACGAGTCTTGCCGCCGTCGCGTGGTTCTGAGGAGATGTATTTGTTAGCAGTCCATAGATCGTTACCTTCAATATCCTCCAGCCAGTCTAACCAATGCTGCTTCTTTGTTGCAGTGATCTCGTCCGCGTATTGGTCCTTGAGTTTTTTGAGTTCGGCGTGGCTTGGGTGGGTGGAGATGGCTCGCATTTGGTAGGTGAGCTTGCTTAGTTCCTTGATGCGTTGTCGAAGGTCGGAGAGGCGTTTGGTCCACCATCGTTTTGAGTGAGGATGTCATATCCCGCGTTCCGGACCCGGACCTATCACACACATCATTTCCGGAAGTCCGGATCCGGCCGACGTCTATTCTATGTCCGGATCCGACCCGCGTCTAACTTCCGTGCCTTATCCCTTTGTACGTTCCTACTCCAGTTAGACCATATCATTTTCCGTACCTCATTTCATTTCCGCCTTTATTTTCATCTGTTCTAATCTCCGGGTTCATTTACTATTTTCCGATAGACTAGCGTTTGACTTTTCTATACGCTCCGTCCACAGCTTTGTATAGCTTCGGACTGCGCATCTCTGTTCTCCGATAAGTCCTCAGTAGTATATAAACCCTGTAGAATCTATGTACATCCTTAGTTCAAATATCATCTTAGACTCTGCTCATTCTCTCCTCTGTCCGACTTGAGTTTCTCTCTCGTCGACCTCCGCTCGTCTTAGGATCGACTCCTATAGACTTGTCACCTCCGCCTCTACCTCTGGTAGTCCTCCGCTGTTTCCTTTCTAGTTCGGACTTCATCCGGATTAGTCTTATCTCTTGTTTCCGAACGTCCGCCGGAATTCCTGCGCATCGGACATCGGACTCCGGACATCGCCCGACGCCCTCCGGACATCATCCGGTAACCTTCGGACATTGTTCAACAACCCTCGGAAGTTAGGGGCACGTACTCGGGTAAGGGGCGCAGCGCACGAGCTGAAGCCAAGCCCTTCGGATCCGCCCCTTGAGCACGTTCTTAACAGAGGACAGGGCTTTGAAAGGGGCATGCAGGCTTTCATGGTCGAGGTGATCGAGTGGGTGAGGTGGAGGGCAGCGTCTTGAAATTCATCATCTGAGGCGAGAGGCTGTGCTGGACGGCTGGAGATGACATGTTGGAGATGCTTGTTGAATGCTTCCCAGTCGACGTCTCGCCAGTTATGGCGGGGATCATCAAGGGTGCGGGGGGCTTCAAGGTCTAGGGTTAGTAGTATGGGGAGGTGATCGGTTCTGGGTCCGCGAAGCTCTGGGGCCGTTTCGCAGGATATGACTGCATCTAGCAGGTGTTCCGTGCCGAAGACGTTGTCCGGGCGTGTCCAATTACCAGTACTTACAGATTGTAGTATAGGGATTCCGCAGGGAAGCAATTGAAGCATTCCATGGTCAGCTATGAGGTCAATGAGGGGGTTAGCAGCAGCATAATTGAATAGATGGCGGTTTCAGATGTCTTCCCAGAGTGGATGGTGGCGATTGAAGTCGCCCATCCATAACATATGGTCAGTTTCTGTTGTCTTGATTGATGCAATGTTACGTTCTAGAAATTCATCAAAAGTGGTTAGCGTGTTGTGATGGGTTCCATCGTTATAGATATTAAATATGGAGCAGCGGCCATATGGTCCTGATAGCTGGATGACTGTGACGTCTGAGGAGGGAAAGTTGAGTTGCTTCCAGGAGTTGGTGTCGATCTTAGTGCTGATCAGGATGACAGCCCGAGTACGTTGCTGAAGGTGTGTAAGATGCTGGGTGGGATAGAGGACGTGCCAATGATGGTTGGCGCTAGTATTACGGAGGAAGTTGATATGTGGTTCCTGTAGGAGTAAGATGTCCCAGTCAGCGACGGCTGGGTTATTGAGTAATGACAGTTGGGCTATTAGGGAGCCATTGAGATTCTGTTGCCAGATTCGCAACCTAACGTTGTTGACGATGGCGTGATTAGACATGAGTGGGGGATGGAGATGAACTGCTAGTCGTGGAGGTTGAAGAGGTTGAGAGATTGGGGGAGACGGAGGAAGCAATGGCAGAGACAGAGACGGAGGAGGTTGAGGCAGAGGCAGAGGCGGTTGAGAGATCAAAGTTCAAGGGAGGATATATTTCGTTCAATATGTCTTTAGTGGAGGGAAGTAGTTCTGGGGAGTTGGGGTGAGAGATGAGAGGGGGTGTGTCTGGACGAGAGGTCATAGGGAAGGTGATAGTGGTTTGACGGAGGGTACGATTGATTGTCGCAGATCGGGATGTCTGCGGAGGGGTCGGTGACTGGGTTGGCAAACGGGGTTTACTGGGTTTGGGGGGGAGGATGGCATGTGTCCAGGCTGCATTGGTGGGGAAGTAAGGCATCTTGTTTTCCAGGTATTTTTCATCAAGCAGCTCGCATCTACGAAGGAATTCTGGGCACTTCCTGCCCCAGCTAGTGTGGTCGTTGCTGTGACAGTTGACGCATCTAGTAGTGCGATAGGCGTTGCATTGAGAGGTGATGTGAGGTTCCGCACATGTGCCGCACATATTGGATGGGTCGGTGAAGTTTCGAGTGATGTGGCCGAAACATTGGCACTTGGCGCAGCGAATGGGCTCTTTCTTGTCCTTTCGGACGCTGATGCGTTCGTTATCGATGCAGATACCGTCGCGCAGGATGTTGTTGGCCGTGAAGGCATCGGCCACTTGGAGAAGAGCAAAGGCTTTTCGCTGTTCTGAGGATTGATGTGCCGGGGGTTTGATCCACCGAATGGAGGTTAGGGAGCCGGCCGGTAGATTATTTTCGGCTTCTACATGACGAAGGAAGTCAATATATTCAATCTGTAAACGAATTGATAAGTATTCTAGTACTAAGGCGAAAGTGCGAGAGCGGAACAATATTGTTGATTCGAATTGTTCTTCGAGTAGGGTGCGACCAGATGGTCCTCGGAGCCATTCAGCCAGTTCTTCAGAGTCCAGTTCTACTATGACACCTCCATTCCGCATGGTGGTGACTGCTCTTACATAACCCGGTGGTGTGCCGTCGTCCTTGATGTTGCCAATTGCTTCTCTGAGACGGGTAGCAATGTCTTTGTTGGAGGTGCCTGGTGGGAATAGGTTTGTTCCTGGTTTGGGATCAAGAAGGATCTGTCGTGCACGAATAGCAGCTCGTCCAAGAGCTAGGTCCGTTTTGGGGGGGAGATTGGCGGCCACCACTGAACTGTACGTAGGCTGGTTGGGCGCGGGGATGGGCATGGGGGCGGTGAACTGGGAGGACAGATGGTTGATGCGTTCCTGTGTGGTGTCTAACGATGGGGTCAGTAGTTTAATGGCGTTTTGACAGTCTGTAACCGTGGCGTATAGAGCGTCTGCTGTTTCCTCTAGACGGTCTGCCGCTACAGATATGTTTCCCTCCTGTTCGGTTCTCTCGTCTCTTGCGTAGCGGTGTAGACATTCAGCTTTGTCTAGGGTTATGGCCAGTGTGTCCTCGTTCTGTTGGGCAGTTTTGGCAAGGGCTTCCGAGGCAGCATGAACGTTGGCTATCTGCGGAGCAAGAGCTGCGATTGTGTGATCTACGATGCGAGTGGAGAGAGAGTCAGTTAACGCGACGGTCAAGGAGGAGGCTAGTTTCGTCGCAGCGGCCTCGGCAATTTTGCATGCTATGTTCTTCCTCAGTATAAATGCAACGGCGCATATTGCCGCATTGACTGGAACCGGGGTGGCAGAAGACATCTGCGTTATATGAAAAAGAATCAATGAGAGATGAGTTAGGGTAAAGGGTTGACCCTCTAGGCATAGAAGTTTGGAACCCAGGAATTTCTCCGCACTGTCGGTATCCATGACATCATGCGGCGTAGCCAAGATATCTTCGACAGAGATTGGGTTTCGAGTCGTCCTTCTGGTGTTGGGAGCATGAGCTGGGGTTGGCGAATGAGCTTTTGACAGCCCTGTTCCAGTCCCAACAGTGGGCTTCCCTGGTGGCATGTTAGTATTAGTGGGTTATGTACTTATCTAGATATTGTTTTTTGGTGTTTTTGAAAGTTTTCTGGGTGTAGAGAGTAGTCGAAGGGTCGCCGTTGAGCGGCGTTGGCGGCGTTGGGCGCGTTGAGCTCGATGGGTGTTTGGGGTCTTTTTTCGGGGTGCCACTTGGTAAGTGACTAAGCCGTTTTTTAATCTACACTTGAACTTGCATGTGACACACACGGCATTAGTGTTCTTTTCCTTCCCAAGTTCCACTGCGAGCTTAATTTTATTGAGCAGTGCTGGGGCCATGCAAAGTGAATATACCATCAAAAGCCACCATCATCAAGTGAACAAGGCCTGGAGACAAACCTGATTGATGCACTGGACTCGGTGACTGTGGAACAGATGCGAAAGTGAGCCCCTGATTATTTTCATGTTAGTTTTATCTCACCTGAACCTCAGATATGCATAGTGTTCTCGTAGATTCATGAATGCCTACCAAAAAGGCTTGTCGGGAAAGCAAGCAGCTTGGGCCACCAAGAAATATTGTGGTCACCAAGTGCTTCCTAACTCTGTTCTCGCCGAGCTCAAGACAGCCGGAATCTGACATTTAGACTATTACTGCTGACTCATTTTGATCATTGTTCACTATATAATCAACAATACATCTTACCTTTCATTGCATACACTATCTGATGGCATAGTTCATACTGTATGGATGTCACACTAGTACATAGAACTCCGAGATTTGGTCGCCACCGCTTAGAGGTCACATCGGGTCACAGTCAGTCACAATGCATCACACATTGGTGGTTTGTGCACAAGCTCTATCTTATGTCTAAACAGACACATTCAACCCTAAAGGGAATTGCTACTAGAATGATGATGAATATGTGCAACCTAAGAGCACACTAAGCGCAGGACAATAGCGGACAGGTATGTGCGAGGTATAGGAATGTATCCAAGACTATCTGAAGTGTGGGAACGTGTGGCCAAAGGTGCGGAAAATTATGTCTTACTAGGATGTGATTGGCAATAAAATCACCAGTTCTCACTATCCTCCACGGTCAACGGTTCAGACAAATACTAACGGTTGATAATGTGGTTGTTCATGGGAGGAGGCATAAATAGCAGGGTTGTTCTAAACAACTTCTATTGACTTTAGGTGTGTTAAGACAGTGACCGTTAACTGGCTTGATGCAGTGCTTAGGTACTATGAAAAAGTTGTTAGCCTGTTAACTGGCTTGATGCAGTGCTTAGGACGCTAAAGATAAAGATCGTAAATGGTGTAGCCAAATCAATAACTGGCTTGATGCAGTACTATGATGCTACTAGAAGATGAATGCAAAAGTATGCAATATGAAGATGAAGATATGGTTCACAACAGTACACAATGAATCAGAGTAATATCTTGTAAACACTCCCTATTCTCAAAAAATTAGAGGAGATCAAACTAAGCCTCTAACACAATCGAATCAACCAAAATACATGGCTTCGAAACTAACTTCTCTGCTGCTCAGGTACTCACAATGAGTATGACGCAGAATCAGAACAGAGTACACCCTCTTGATGTAGTCTTAAAGCAGCCAAGCTCTTAATATTGTTGAATAAAGTGCTAGTCTTATTTGCATCCTCCTAATCATTAAAAATATGTAAATTCTCCCCACAGAAAAGGTATCCTGTGTCTTTAAAGAGAATGTGACGAAACTACAACTAGATGACTGATAACTGTGTACCAGCTAGTGTAATTCAAGGATTGGCTCAAGGTAGGCCTCAGAAAATCAGTATGTTGTGGGAAAAGATGACAAAAGAATGGAGGGAATAAACTTAATATTTACTCAAATGTTCACACAAATATGGGGTGAGAAATTCAGGAAGATACTCAAATCCTCCTCCCTCTCTCTTAAAGGGGGATTGTCTGTCCTCTCAAAGGAAGATTGATTTCAAAAGGGAGATTGTCATTATTCAGAGGGGAAATAGAGCCCCTTATATACTACTCTAAATGTGGCTGTGTAACTATCTAAATAAGGAAATATGACTCAAACTGAGTCGTTGTAGAGATGTCTTATGATAACTTGTTCACTTCTCGAATATTCTTATCTATCAACTTTCTCCATTGAAATTCCTAACTAATCCATCTCATCTAACTAATACATTTCATCTGACTAAGCCATTAGTCACCCATGAACTGTTGATACATTAAAATGTTGTATTGAATATGTTTCAGAACATACAAAAGAAATGTGAAGAATGTGTGAGAAAAATTATGATGTTGTAAGAAAAAATGCTGAGTAATGTGTTATGGTATGTTTGGAACTTATCTTTGAATAGGATAAGTATTAATTGAAATATTATGTAGTGTTATGGGTTTGTTATGTCTGAAAACTACTCAAATCAAGTCATAATGTGTTATAGAAAATTCTTAGTAACTTTGTAGAGTACAGTTACTAGGGAATATCAAAGCTCAAAAGTAGCCATGACCATGCACAAAACAAGTTTGGTGCGTGTCAGCGCGGGAAAGTGCAGACAAGGTATAGGGAAGTCAAGGAACGAGGTTTTGAGAGAGCGAGGGCAAAGATATATTGCAAGGTAAGGAATGTCTAGGTATAGAGAGGTATAAGGAACCTAATAGGGGCTAAAAAGCATGCACTACAAAGGACAACTTCAAAGGTAAACCTAATGGGTGGGGTATATAGTACGAGGGAAGTGTATAAGTAGTTCAAAGTATAGGCAACTTATACTGTCTAGAATCTCACTCGGAATAGGGAGGGATAGGAAATATAGTAAATATGTAAGGACATGTAATAAGGCTGCAACACATTTTACAAGCCTCGAGGTAAGGAAATTCACATACCAATGGGGTTTGGACGGACTATGGATGGACAAGGGACTTTCCTAATGTGTTTCTGAGGTATCCGAAGCGTGGGAATGCGGGTCTGATGTGGCCAATGCACGGGAAAGTGCGGGTTTGGCTTCACACGAAGGTTACTTGCTGGACTAATATGTATCAATATCAGGCATCATGGCTAGCTCAAAACAAAACGGACAACAAAAATTTCACTACAATATCAAGCCAAGGAAATAAGGGGAAGGAAATAGAAGAGCGCTGCATGTTTACAAAATTCGTTCCAAATATGACTCACTACGTCATCCTAGACCAGAACCTCCTCAGTAGTGCTACCATCATTCAAACATTCTAACCAGTGTTCAATGAACGATCCTGCCAGTGGAATACAAGGATCCCACATTGGCCACTTGCACATTGGAAAGGACGGATAGGCAGTGACAAATGCCAGCCAGAAAGTGTCACGTCCCCATGTCCACAGTGACAATTCCGTGTCAACTTCTGTAGTGAGCTATTCCTGAATTTGCCAGTAAACTGTTTCCCAATCAGCTGGATTGATGTAGTCAAACAAAAATAGGAGTGGGAAAAATGATATAGTGGGTTTGTCATTGTCATAGGACATAGCTGAGGTCGACTTTGGCATGATGTAAGTAATAGGTTGATGTTTAAATAGATGACATATGCACTTACATTGTCCAAGTCTCCCAAACAGTATAGTATGCTACTGCAGCAACTCAAGTCTGATAATACAACCTCTATGACTGGTGTAGTGAATGTTCCATATTCCTCATCAATAGATACTGATATGTGGACAGGCTGGCATTTACATGTGAGCAAGCCTTGAGGAAAGTGGAAAACAACAGATTCATACAATATCACTCCTTTCCAAGATCTGTCTCAGAAATGTCCTGGGAAAGCAGACTATGAAGGACATTGGTTCGAGTGAGGCATGGTTGTCTTTATAATGAACACCAGGATAGAGAGTTGAAACTTTGGTGAGTGATAGCCTTGAATTCATTTTGAAGTTAACAAAGTGACAATCACCTTGAACAGCGAGACATGAGAGATTGGACTTGTTGACATTTTGAATGTGTTCAGTCACATGATCAGCATATCGAGTGCCTGCGCAGTGCCCACTGTTCTTGATAAATTGACCAGCATGAAGGATGACATCATCGATGGCCATAGTACGTGTATTTTTTTTCATCAATTCATTGCTTATTTATTTATGCTATGGTATCTATAGTCTTTTGATTCTGCAATGACACTTCAGATCGTGTCTTTTGCACTGTATGCCCTAAGAATGTGGTATCTATTGTGTGATGGCACACTGTAATGCTGCAAAGCACGTGAAGCAAGATATTCACATTTATTGTGCCAAAAATCTTAAGAAAAAGCTTTCTGAGACCAGGAAGCCAAGTGTTTCTGCTGCAACACCTGCTGGCCATCCTGATCCTTCACTTCCCCCCACCAGTCAAGATGACTTCAGCATCGATTTCGATTATGTGGATGACACCTATCAACATACAAGCTGATGGACTGCCCATGGTGCCTGAAACAGCACCAGATGATATGGATTCCAAATATCCATTAGCCAATCTCTGGAACAAGATCATCAGCAGTCGAACACTCCAGCTTGATAATGAATTTCCGGACCTGTTTGCTGAACTGCAGGTGTCTGTTGCCTCAGGACAAATTGCCATCTCAACACCCATCATTCCCACTAACAAGGAGTGTGTCATATCCCGTATTCCGGACCTACATCTGACAATATTCCCACGCCTCATCTGGACCTTCGGACACCCTATCCATGTCTCCAGTCCTCTACCCATCCGGATCCCTGCACCTCTGTACATCCATATCTGCACATCCACATCCAGATCCCTTTACCTCCGTACATCAGACCTCCATACCTCTGCAGCTAGCCTGCATCATTCATCCTTTGTCCTATCGCCCTAATGTTATATCCTGTACATCCACGCTTCTCATCTGGACCTCCGATCCGGTCCGATTCGATCCGATCCGATATACGATAAGCTTCCTAATTCATTCCTGTGCATATAACGTTAACACAGCCTATTCCTCTATTTGGTATTCCTTGTCATCAGTATCTCGGTTATACTTACTACTAGTATGCTTACTGATCCATTAACCTATGCTTCATTTCCAACTCGCGCTTGATAACTTTGCTTATGCTTCGTACATAGCCTTGGACACTTGCTTACTGATCTTTCCATTATTTCCTTAAGTATATAAACTCTTGTATATGTCCTGTAGTTCCTCAGCCTGAATATCATATTAGTCCTTGCACTAGTCTTCACACTAAGTCCTCACAACTAGTTCCTTCCTTGTTAACATCCACCTTAGGCCTAGGGAGGAATTCCCTAGGCCAGAGCTCTGCTCCTCTGCTCATCTGATCCTAAACTCCTCTAAGTTTCCGGAACTTTCCCATGGTCCTCCAGACCTATTCTGCTTCGGACTTTGTCCTTGCAGCCTTTCCTCTGTTTGCTTCTACTTAGGACTTGTCCTAAGTAGCCATTACACATATCCGTATCAGGACAAAACCTCATTGTAATTTCCAGAAGTTCCTCCGGAACTTTCCCGCACTCATCTGGAAGTTACTTGCACTCGTCTGGAAAGTCCTTCCAAACTTTCCTGCACTTCGGATGTCCTTGGACTTTCTTCGGACATCATTCTGAAATTAAGGGCACATACTCGGGTAAGGGGCGCAGCGCACAAGCTGAAGCCAAGCCCCTCGGATCCAGTCCTACCCTTTGTGCACGGTCTTAACAGAGTGTGAGCTTGTTGACGACAGTGTGCCTGACTTTGGTATTGAAATTCCTGGTAAGTAAAATGTCTTTCCTGCACTCTGAAATTCAATACTTAGCGGTATTTGCAGATGACCCACTTCTTGAACCTGCGAACACTAACTACAATGTCTCTCCAGATCATCCATTGTATCCCTGGCCATCAAAAGCAGTAGGTCTTATGCTGCACACATATATATGATATATCTAACAATATCAAGTATTTCATCACATCCCTCTTGTTTAGCTCCCCATGGCTTCCGTTCTCTGAAGTCCAAAAGAAGGTGGTCTTGAATTGGGTCAAAGAATTCGGCATGCGAAGCCTTCCCTCACTCGGCACAATGAAGAAGTATCAGAGTTATTTGCAGGATCTCATAGGAGATTCAACCAAGAAGGTCATGTCTCACTCTGGAAACATGTTTTACATCAATAGTGTTGCGAGAGCAATTGCAAAGGTTCATGGGATGGATCTCTGCACCAATGTGATGTTAACATAATTCATAGGACTATGCTAATCCCCTCACTTGTCTTGCAATGCAAGACTATCCAGAGGATGATGGAAAGAGGATGTCACAAGTATTCAATGGGAGTAAAATGTTGTTTGATCTCCCATCACTGCCAGCAGTTCAGGTAGACAGGACCATGTATTTTATGGACGAACTGTTGCAGGAGTCTTTAGGAGGCTATTTCATCCCAAAACTATTCTTTCTGGCTGCTGCTGACATCCCCACCAATACCACTGAATCCTGCAAACAATCAGATAAAGTGCTATATGCATTGGGTTAGCTGCTGAATGGACAGAGGTATAGGGTCATCTATGTAATGTATACTGGTGCTCAAATGTGTATCAGGCCAGGTTCATTGTAAGTGACAATGAGGAGATTATCCCAATGTCTATGTTTGTACGATCATTTGGAGATATTGTGGGCTCACATGTATGTTTGGTTCTACTTTCATTAGTAACTATAAGACTAAAGCATGTCATAGCATCTTCCGTTAGATATGTGTCACTTTCACCCAATCCACTGCGAGAAAAGTCAAAAGGTCAAATGGTGTATACTGTTCCCTCAATCATCATGGATGATGTGTCAGGCAATATATTGAGGCAGTGGAACAAACGCCACGATATATACATGTCTAATGCAAATTTGCCTCAAGAGATGCTCGAAAAAGAATTCTTTGTGCAATTTGTTTCATCCTCCCCTCATGCACCACCCATGGAATTGATGTGAGCAATGAAGGAATCCATATTGTATGTTATTCTACTTGTCATTTGTATGCTAGTATCATTGAATGCATGTAGTGATGCAGCATGATCTGGTGTTATGGCATGGGATTGCAAGTTCAACGAGGAGGTTATGCTTATTCCATATGCATTATTTCTTGCTGGAGACAATCCCATGCAAGCTGAAGAGTGTAGCCACACAGGGCTCAACTGCAACTATTTTTGCAGGACATGTGATGTTGGTGGAACAAAAGAGTACAAGGAATCCAAGGCTGGCTACAACAGCATTTTTATGGTATGAAAATCCTTTCCGTATCTTCCATATAACTTATAGTGCTTGCAGTCAGGTAATATATAAACCCCCGAGAAGATGAGTCAAGAGATTCAACAACAGTTTAAAACTGCCTTCAAATCAGGCACCACAACAAAAATCCAGAATTCTGTTTCATTGACTGGTGTGCGAGATTCAGCTTCAGGTTCGATTCTCAGTGTGTTGGTTGAACTTGGCAAGAAGCTTCGAAAATGCATACCAGGATCTCCAGCTCTGCCTAAAAGTGAAGTTGAAGCTGCCCTTTGGAAAGAATTCGAGGAACTCTTGAAAGGTGGACACCTCAACAATACTACCAATCCCCTACTGGGAATGGATGGTGAGTTTTTTTTGGTTGCTGTAGATCTCTCGCTCAGCTTCATGCAGTGTTAGATATTCATATAGATGCCCCAACGGAAATCCTTCATACAATACTCCTGGGTGTTGTCAAGTACTTCTGGGGGCAGACAGTGTTTCTTCTCAAAAAAGCAAAGTTCCTCCACATTTTTCAGTACTGGCTTGAATCCATCAACAAGGATGGCCTGAATGTGCCCTGTCTAAATGCAGACTATATTTGCCACTATTAAGGCAGTTTAATTGGCAAGCATTTTAAAAGTTTGGCACAAGTTATGCTATTCATTATCCATGACGTCATTCCTCCGATGGTCCTTAATGCATGGACAGTGATCGGCAAACTCATTGTACTGGTCTGGCACACAAGATTCATGGACACAGAAACATATCTTGTGAGTTCAATTCATGTTCTATCCAAAAGGCTTGTCTGATATCTTGGTGACAAAGGCAATGTTATCTTGAACCATTGAAGATTTTTTGAATGTTATGACACAATGTGCACTGAGTATTTTGATTAGTAAGCCAAAGTTCCATTTTCTCATCCATCTTCCAGCATACATTTGTCATTTTGGCCCTGTGATTGTTTTTTCAACTGAGCGATATGAATCATTCAATCATGTATTCCAGTTATTATGCATCTACAGCAACCGACAGGTGCCAAGTAGGGATACTTGCAAGATTTTTTCTCACCAGGACACGATCAAACATATCACTACCAGTGGATTTGTGTGGGGGAAAAGGTCCTATGCTATCTTGATGAACATCCTGAACAAGCGAGGCTTCTAGGCATACCAAACTCAAGTCATAGTCCTCTGATACCTGGTAAGTCCCATAGTATGTGCTATCGCTATATCACCACTAATGATGTACAGGTTCGGGCAAAATTGAAACCACTTCTCCCACTGCAATAGCAAAGTCAGTGAGAAAACACACAGTCCCATGGAAAACCACTCGCTGCATGAAGATTCTTAGGACTGTTCAACCTGGAATCATATATTATCAGGGTAAATCAGTTGTGACAAGTGAAGGATAATGTGCATGCTTGAATAGTCATGTTATTTTCCAACAACCAGTGGACAGGCAGGTGAGCTAGTATCTTCTTTTCCTTTTGTCATGACAGCTACTCATTGACATGGCTGTGATGCTGCTTCCAGTTGTATATTGGACGTATTCGCAAGATTCTCATATCATCCCAGGACAGTCAAATGACAGATCATGTCACACTCCAGCTCTTCACATTCAGAGCTGCTCTCCACCCATCTCTCCACCTCCTATGCATTGATCTTACTGATAATGAGATGGTTTCAACCAGTATAGTACATCATGTGTTTTATATACAAGCTAATTGTTCAAGACTTGGATCACCTCATAGGACATTATTTGCACCATTAATATTCAACATAATTGCCTCGATTTGCAGTGCACAGACATCCATTGACAGTCTGTACATCAAGAATGGATAGACACCTCTCAAACAAAGGCCATAGTCAAGCACGAGTCAATGCCAAACTTTTTTCTCAATGTCTATTCTATCCATAACTACGATCACATCCAATGTATTGTTCCTGATACACTTCATGAGATACCGCTTTGGGTTACCAATATAGCTGAAGTTCAGGTCAAGGCCATACACCAACTACAAGACAAGAGAACAGCCAAGAAAGGTGGAGATACATTTCAAATAGCAGATAGTGGCGAGGGTGTGGCTGCTCAACCATCTTTAGTGCCACCTTCTGCCTTTGATCATGCTTCAACCAAACTGCGGAAGCCTACATGCAAAGCCAAGGCAAAAACAGCAAAAGTGAGCACACATGGTCCGAGTACACAAGGAAAGAAGGGGATGGCACCCGCTCAGCAAGATTCAGGAGCATCGCAGCAACATCAAACTGTCTCTGCGCCATCAATGGGAGGCCCTTCACAACATTTTTACTTACCTACACCCCAACCACCCCATCCTCTACATCAGTCTTTCCCTCTGCTTCTGCCAATTTCTGCTCTTCTCTCCTTACACTCCTCACCTCTATTTCACCAATCACTATCTCAGTTGTATTGCCCTCCCCCACAGTCATATCTTTCATCTCAATCATGTGCCTCTGTGCCTCTACTTGCCTAATACATTCACCCAACTCGTCAGCAAATACAAAATGTGCAAGAGGCCCCAATGGATTCACTGCCTACAGTGCAGGCCCCAAATTACTACATAATCTTAACACCTCACTTCCCTCCTGCACATCCACAGCTCTGGCAATCTCATGATACCGGCTCTATCTCTGGACTCTCCCCAGCTCTTCTTGTGCCCCACCATTGCACCAGTTTCAACCTCTGATGTCTCCCACACACTATTCACTACATAATGTTGCAGGCCACTTCTCATTGCCTCATTATCCTCTCCAAGAATCTCAGGTTCAATATCTGCAGAGTCAGCATCACCACCCTCAGTTTGGTATGATGTATCCAGTAGGATATGAACTCCAAAGGTATCCCACAGTGCGCAACTTCTACTTACAGGCACACAACCATTCATATTGGGTGCCTGGTGGTTTCCCGTTCAATATGGCATATCCTAGGGGGGATATGAAGTCCAAAGGTACTCCATGAAATATGTCACCGATCAGCAATCAGGGAGTCACTAATCCTACAGTGCATGACTTTTACTTACAGGCTTATAAAGACCCTCAAGCCATTCGAGAATCCTGCAGTGCGCAACTTCTACTTACATTTACATAAAGACCTTCAAGCCATTCAAGTTGGGTATCTGGCAGTTTCTCATTTCAGATTTGGTGTCTGGCTGCACTCAATTTTGTGTACTTAGATGAAGGCCTGCCGCAAATATTCTCACCTTTGCTGCACCAAGAAGTACTGCTCAGATAATATACTTAGTGATTATCTCTTCATCTCTCTCCAAGCCCCTTTTTCCACCCAGCCCTTATTCCAAGAATATATCCTGTTTATTGTTTGATACTCTTTTCTGCTGCTTTCATAGGTCTGAGCACACCAAAGATCTTGTGAAGAATATTTGAGTATGATGCAATTGTCAACTCGGATGCAAGCAAAGAAGCAAGGCTTTATGTGATCAGCCACTGAGCCCGAACCTCCGTTGGTCAGCCTTGAGTAAAACAGTGAGTTGCTCCTGCACAGTGCATCCACATCTACATAACATCATGATGCTCCAGTGTTATCCTGTGTGGACTAGTTCAGGTTCAAGAAGCACAGGAACCCCATGCTTAACAAATGGTCTGTTAGCATCACCCACCACTGTGCCTCGAGGCAGGAGTCATTCGACTTCTATCCAGAATGCCTCTCGACCTCCTTCAGTGTCTGAATCTATAGGAGACATTGGTCATGCTCATTCACCGCTTTCCCAGACCATCACTATTAATCAAGTTTCTCAAGGTCAAACTGTTGTTGCCTCTTGGTTCGCTTCCCCAGATGAATCCCTGAACGAGCCTATTAGTGCTAGCTTGCATCGCCAGAGATCTTCTAGCACTGACTGTAATAACCCATCGATATTTACACCTGGACTCACAAAGTGACTCAAGTTGTGTGCAAGGAAAGTTGCTGAAGAGAAAGGTGTTGATGAGGAGCACCTCGTTGAATTCATTGATGCAATTTTTCTCTTAATGCTATTATAAATCATTTCTGATGAATCATTAGACTGGAGGAATTGCCTATATGCTCATTGATATTAAGGTCACCTTGATGATGTTGAGCGCAGCAAACAAAAAATCTCTCCTCATGGAAATCAAAAACTAATAGAATCGAAAGATTTCAAGGTACTTGCATCTAACTGTACTATTCTGTCGTCAACTTCAAACTGATCAAGCATGACACAGTCGGGTCTTCACAACCACCGCCTCACAACATGTGTGTTATTGCCTAATCTCACTGCATACATCAATGACATGCTTGAACACATCATAGTACCTTCAATATCCTTACATAGGAATGTAGCAGCTGAACAGGATGACAGGAATTTATTAAGAAAAATAGCGAGATATTCAAGATCCCAAAGTTCCTGTTTGAAGACATCGAGCTCACTGCACAATTATCAAAACTTGTCAGCAAAGCACTTTCTTGCATCTGCAGCAATGTAAAGACTAAGGTAAGTGTCAAAATACCTCACAGAAAATGCCAAGCTTAGACTGATTCAGCTGATGTTGTCAACCCTAAAATGCTCGAGTATCATAGACACTGCGAGATCACTCACTCATGGTTGCCTAGAAGTTGATGTGTCACATTGGAATAGATATGCATTTTTGGTATGGTCTTGCTCCCCTGACTGCTCATTCTGACGATGAGATTCCATTGGCAGCACCATTGCTTGCATATCTTTCTTATCGGCACCGGTAACTACAAGACCATACCTCTAAAGGATATCTATTCCCCATTGCTCCTTCCATCGCTCCACCATGACCTTCATGTCAAGGTTGGTGATGCACTTGGCATTAATGTTGGATTGGACAACTTCAACCAAGACCCCATAGCTGAAGGTGATGCTAATCAAGTCCAGGAGAACAGTGCAGATGGTATGGGAAGCATTGAAGGCAGCATGAATAGAGCAGAGGCTGGAGATGATGGACCCGATTTTGATGTTAACCATGTTGGAGATGAGGAGGAGGACGGCCTGGAAGGAAACATGTCTGGCATGGCAGAAACGTATGAACTCGACCCCAATGATTGGGGATTTGGTGGCCATGGAAAGTGCACTATCTTCATGTCAACCAAATTTTGGAAGTTTGTGGATGCCTCGCTCGAGGGCGTTCTATCATCAGAAAGTAAGTTCATTGCTAATACTTCACTCTGCACGTGGTTACTCATTGTTGGGAAGCATCTTGGTCGAATATTTCCAGCAGGACCTCGCTGAATTCCCAGGGAAGAGGACTGTTCCAAAGCTGCTTTCCAGCACCAATCCTGTCACAACCCAATAACGAATTAATGCTGGGTGAAGACTAGGACTCAAAGCACAAGATAATCCACACAAAAGAAGATAGTATTGAGCAGGTACGTCTGGGCTGGTACAAGTAATGTACAGATGAGAGGTTTGAACTAAAGAACTACCGACTACAAACAAGCTACCTATATACATATATTAAGTCGGAGACTGAAACTGAGTTCAAACTAACTACCAATCAAATAATAAGAACAGTATCGTATGATTCTGTATATAACCTATGATGTCATGACACGTGCCACAGCAACTGACAGGTTCTGGAACATTCTATCAGGATCATTCAGTATAAAGTTTAGTCCGGCATATTCTGATAAGTCACGTGACTCAATCATGTGCTCATTAGGTAATTCTACAATAGACGCTACCACAGGTGCATCTTCAACCATAAATATGTTATTGGTAACAGGCACTTTATCAGGGTGCTTATAAGACTTAGAGTTCAGAAAAGAATAGTGATTCGTGTGAGGTACTCGTGACAAATCCCCAGTGGCAGATGAAAATTCAGACCAATCTACTTTGGTAGTGAATATGCCAGCTCCTCACTCCCATTCAACACACTTATCACTCATTCTGATACTATAATTGTTATTGTAACTAGCACATTGATAATTTGACTGCTTGACATACATTTACTGCCTTGCAAAATGTATTTGATGTGACTGGTATGGTGCTGGTAAGCTGGTGACTAGCTACCCTGAATATATGAGTCTATGTCTGACCGGTCCTGGCCAGAGGTAGATACGACTTACTGAACTCAATATCTATACAAGATGGGACAACATATCCATGTGAGGTGTGGTATGCAATATATTCAAGATAAATCAATATGACACTCGTAATAGCTCCAGTTTCCAATGTACCTACACTATCTTTATAATACCCTGAAGCTTTTAAATACAGGCATGTCACACACCTCCGAGTCATGTGATAGATTAAATAGTTAAATACTAAATTGGTCAACAATACAGTGTACTACCAGTACCTTTCACACCACTGGTACATTTCACACTTGTGCTAAAACTCCATCAATTATTATTATTATTTTGTCCTGCCACTTGAGTGAGGCATTAAGAAGCATGTATAGAAGTATAATACAAATTTACAAATAGATATGTGAAGTGTGTAAAAGCTGGGGATAAATTCAGTCGAAGAAATAGTAATTTGTGCTGAGAAATGACTTTTGTACCAGGCGCAGTGCAAAGAATTCACTGAAAATTGCCTGTATATATAGTATCATTTTAATCAGCCAGGTATTCTACACAATATATCTCTACAGAAAGGAGTGATTAGGTCGAAATTTCATGTTGTGGAAGGCATTTTGTGCAAAACTTGTTTCAAGTGTGACAATGCATGACAGCTCATTTGAATGTAGAGGGTGTGCAAAAGAAAGATTGGCCAAAGAAACCAAAATGGCCGCTAAAGCCCAAGCGAGCACCACAGCAGACAGTTGAAGCAGATTGTGACGAAGAAGATGGTCCAGGGCTGGTGGCTGATTGTGTTGACAAGCAAGAAGGCAGTAGTGGCGAGTCCTCTGATGAAGACAATGTGTGAATTGAGTGCGCATCACGCATTGGTCACACTGTGAAATGTACTGCATTTGTGTGACATTTGAGCACTCCATGTTTTAAATCATCGAGCATGTTCAACATTGTGAAAAAAATCAATTGTTGCATCAGTAGTATTATTTAGATGCCTAATATTAATGCTAGGTACTCAAATTGTATCAAATGGTGGTGTACAGGCCTTAACTAGACAAGTGTGAATCTGGTGTGAAAGGTACTGGTAGTACACCAGGCTCCTTCCCAGCCCCACGGTTCGAGTGCTGAGGGGTGATATATCTGAGAACTGAGACTTGAACTTGAGACATCACGTGCCATAAGAAAAATTCAAACCCAGCATAACCTTATTCCCCTCACACTCTCACCGGGGGCTGGAAGATAACATTTGTAAACAGAGGTCAGCCACAGTGACAGTGACTGCAGAACACTCGAAAACACTCGCTCACACCTAGTGTAGGGTTATGATTATTCGAATTTATATATTCATTTATCTACCTCGGTTAATGTTACACCCGCTCCAATCCAGGAAAGGACAGCTCCTAATGTCCATGAGACACCATCAATATCTGAAACCCGTCTGCGTTCACAGCAAAAAATTGGTGTTCAGCCATGTCTATGGCAGGTCAAAGTGGCACTCACACTTCTGAAAGGCGACAAGGACATACTGTGCATCGCAGGGACGGGGATGGGTAAGATACTGGGCTTCTGGATTCCGTTGTTGTTCCAGGTCAATAGCATTCAGCTGGTTGTCACGCCACTCAACTTACTTGGTAAACAAAATACCATGTCTCTTGCAAAGGCTGGAATCCGCGCCATAGCAATCAATGCAGAAACTGCCACCGCTGCAAATTTTTCAGTCAGTGCTACTTTGTAATCCATGGAAATTTACCACTTACATGTCAGCAGGCAATCAAAGCCTTGAAGTACCGCGCCATTGTAGTCAGCCCTGAGCAAATCATGAAACCGAATGGCAACTTTGAAAAACTTCTAAAGGACCCACTTTTTGCTTCCTTGCTCATGGCTATCATCATTGACGAAGCGCACTGTGTCACCGAATGGGGAGAGTTCTGTCCAGAATATTGAGAATTAGGCCGCCTTCATTACATCCTGCCATCACATGCATCAATCATGATAACTTCAGCTACCCTCACAAAAGCGGCACTGATAAGTACTACCAGGCTTCTCCATATGCACGCTGACAAGATGGTCACGATACATCGTTCAAGTGACCGTCCAAACATCAAGATTGGAGTCAGAAAGATCAAACACGCACTAAATAGCTATGCCGATCTTGCTTTTCTCATTCCAACGAGCTGGAAAGTTGGTGATCTGCCCCCACCAAAGTTCTTGATCTTTTTCGACAGCATTCCGGAAGCCATAAACACTGCTCTATACCTGCACAAATGCTTGCCTTCCAATATGCAAGATAAGATCAAGTGGTTCAATGCAGACATGACGGGAGAATACAAAGATGTGGAACTCACAAACCTTATATCAGGAGCTACATGGGGCTATTGCACAACAGATTCATTTGGAATGGTGAATTTATTTCATCAAACGAGTATCCACAAATCAACTCACTAATCAGGGAATGGACGTTCCGGACATCATGCTCATCATTCAGTGGCGAGCATCATGCAAGCTACCCACTCTTTGGCAGCGGTTCGGGCGTGCGGTTCGGGATTGAAGCCTTCTAGGTACTGTGTTATTGTTCGCAGAGAAGGAGTATTTTGATGACGAACGGCAAGCTAAGCAGGCAAGAAAAAAGGTGTGGGAAGCAACAAGGAAGAGAAGGGGTGATGACTTACCTACATCATTGTCAAAGCGCCGTCGTGCTGAGACAAGTTCGTCAAATTCTCAAACAACTGATTCCCCTTTACTACAGACTGCCGACAGCGGCCTCAGTGACGAGTCTGACGAGGATGTCACACCTCCTGCAGATGCAGGCCTGCAAGTATTGAAGGACTTGGTGAATGATGCTGGGGAGATGCAGAGATTCAACGGAAAGTGACAAAAGCTGAGTCTTGATCCATTAATGGATCACCTGATCAATGTGGAAAAACATACTGGATTGATGTGCCGCAGGAAGGTCTTTGATGTTAGCTTTAATAATGATGCTGCCAGTGAGAAAGTCGTGATGTGTGATGTGATGATACGTACTCACTTATTCTCAGACTCAGACCATTTGGACTGCAACACTGACCGGCCATCAGGGTGTGACAGGTGCTGTCTTGCCAAACCAACCATCTGCTGTGACATCCATCACCCCAATCATTTTACCCAATGCACTTCTCACATCGAAAAAACCGCAACTATGCTTCCACGCTCCCGCATTGCCAAGTATGAGAAAACAAAAAACAACTTTGCCTTACAAGATGTGCTAGATGAGTGGCGCGAGCAGAAGACAGTCGACGTATACGGCTGGCACCACCTCAATGACCTTGGTCCTACTATTGTCATGCCCAACACTATGTTAGATCATGTTGTCGACTGTGCGCATCATCATAAGCTCCAGAATATTGTTGATTTGAAGAAGGAGACCGGTTGGACAGACACGGGAAAATTTGGGGAGGAGGTTATTGCTCTCATCAAAAAATATGTGCCACTGCCTCACTCTGCGCTGTTCACAGCAACACCGCTCAGACTTATATCAACACCTATCACCACTCCTCAACTTCCCACGCCAGTCCCCGCTGCTGTTGAAAGACGAAGGAACCGGTGTAGCGCTTGTGGTCTGGAGGGACACAACGGTATGTTTTCATTTTTTGGGCAGTTTCTGTTACACGAACATATTACAGCACACAATCACGTGTGTCATAGGCATCCATCACGCTCAGGACCAAACAAGGAGAACATCGCCCAAGACACTCGCGCAGCTTACGCACCTGCTCAAGACATTTGTGCAGCTTAGTAGTACCTTCATTTCTTCATACTTGTACTATACTTGATACTTGTACTATATTTACTATACTTACTACTATACTTCCATCAGTACATCCTCCATCTCCGCCCCCTCTTCTCTATCATCCATCTCTACGTTAGGTTCATCATTACCCTCACCATGAGCTGCCTTTTCCATCATATCCCTCCCTTTGTCAATGAGGTCTGGGATCTCACAACACGTTTTTCTACCTAGCACTACAGTATGGGGGGATTGTGCTGCCATCTTCATAATTAGCCCTTCAAATGTTTTAATCATATTTGCCAGCACATGACTTGTTGTAAGGTGGGCGTGCAAGAAATTCTTTTGGACCATGACTTGAGTGTTTCGATAGGCCTCAACTAGAGGAGATTCGAGGAAGATTCGGTCTACAGTGCGGTTTGACCCCTTCCCACCATTCTTCACCTGTATGTCGTTTCAGTTCAGTTAGGCCCAGTAGTGTAGGTGACACACCTTAGTAAACAGGTTGTTCAGCTCAACACACCAATCGACTGCTCAGAACCTCATCGCCTTTCCATTTGGGTTGATGAGGACATGGTAACGCACAGCGTGCTTAAGGCCAGCAGGAAAAACAAAGTGCATGTTGATCAAGAAATTCGTCATATGTGTCGCATACTTATGCTTTCCTGTTGCTTTAAGGATCAGAATCCATGCAATAATCGATGTCTCTACACGCCCAATATCCCTGTGGTTCATTGAGTAAGATAGTTTCTCATAGAGAAGGAAATATTTGTTGAGTAGGAGTGCGTTTTCGTGTTGCATATCGCGTCGTTCCTGAGACTTACGGCGCATCTGGAGTAGCTTGTGAGTTGCAACATATTTCAATGCTATCTCATTTGCAATGGCCTTTAACTCGTCAAAAGTCAGTTCGGAGGCTGTGAATGCCTCAAGGCTTGCGTGACCTCAATTCATAGTCACTATGTGGGCTCGCCAACAGTCAAGCTGGCGACATATGCCAGCATGACCTATCAGTTGGTGCATTCACCGGAACCCTGGCTTCGAGCAGTATGTTCCTGTCTCCTTAGGTCGAAGTTGCATTACATCGTGCATTAAGCTTGTTTCATCCTCTTGAGCCACTAATGGCTGCAGGAAGGTTCGCCAAATGGCATCAGCACACGCCATCTTCAAGTGGAACAATCCAGGAATGAAGATAACATGTTGAAATCGATTCCACAGAGTCGCCTCTAATGACTGTCGAAGTTGTGCTGACTGCAGGCGTTCTCCTGTTCCGAGGTCACCGTGAATGAGAATAATGTGTTGCGAGATGTCAGGATTGTCGAGGATGTCTGCATCAGGATCATAGATGCCACCCTGTGTGAGTATTTCCACAACTGCACGAATGTTACCACTGACAGTTGAATTATTGACGTCCATAGCGCGTACAGCTGTGATTCACGTCTTAATTAATGATATCTCCTCAATAAATTCTGGCTCAGGGATCTCGGATCGAAACTGATGAAAGTATAGTGGTCCATATTCGCACAAGTCTGACAAGAACATTCATGCATTGAACCGATCACATCGGGAGAGTTTGGGTGCAGATTCATCCCGCAATTCAGGATGGATATGCAAAAGATCCTTCCATGATCTTTTGGGCGGTAGCATGGATAACGGTGCGTGTGGGTTCAGCATTGATTGTCTCCACAACTCCTCTGAGCATTTTAAGTCATTTATAGTGACCCCATGCTCCAATGGAAATAGCAAACCGGAGGTGAGGTGCTTTAATGTTTTGTTTGATTTCTCGGCCTGAGGAACTTGAGATTTTAGGTCTACGTCAAAGTTATCATAGGCATATGAGGCGAGGAGGGATTTTCCAATGGTACGAAGGGTATTCTGTGATTCGGCTGACATTGAACGAATAGCAGCATGGATAGAATCTGTAGATATCAAGATTCCAATGCGTGAGAGCATATCGATGACTTTCTGAGGGGTATGCATTGACTGTAAGAAGATTCCGAGTATACTTTGCAGGGTGTTCGACCTTCAGTTTGTGCTTTGCATCAATATGCTCAGTATGACAACATGTTTCTGATTTTATTTGTTCAGATTCACTGTAGCTTAGAAAATGCACGATGCTTACAATCGTGATAATCACAGTGCATCGTACAGGGGCCATTTACTTGATGTCCGAGTCATCTGACTCAGAAGTAGCACATGACGAGAGCCCATTAATAAAACCATCAAGGTCTATGTCATCTAAATTATCCCAATAGGTGTCGTCTTCATCGCGTACTTCATCCATGACAATATCAGCATCAGGATGCTTTGCCTCACACAAACTATCAGCGCCGAGGAGAAACCTGATCAAATCCCACAGCGCAGGTGCGCAAGCCTGGATTTGTATGCCCATCTCCTCGATACTAAAGTCCTCTACTTGTTGTGTTGTTGTGTGTGACGGGCCAAAGTGCCAACCTGCTTCTTCTGATGAGATTGATTTGATCTCTCAAATATATTGCTCTCTCATAACTCGGTTGGTGCGTTCCAAAGCTTCAGCTTGATGAGAAGGATGACGAATGAAAGCATTGAAGATTTCGTCACAATGAGTAAGAAGGTCCTGGACAACATGATGTCCATTATATTGTTGGCTTTGCAGAATTGATACAATGAATTCAGAGGCACTTAAGTTGCAATCTTGTAGTGCTGCGATCACTGTGTCCATATTGGAGCGGGTGTAACATTAACCGAGGTAGATAAATGAATATATAAATTCGAATAATTGTAACCCTACACTAGGTGTGAGCGAGTGTTTTCGAGTGTTCTGCACATCAGTAAACTACAATTTTCTCCACAGAATGTACAAATTTTGTGTTTTTGTAACAGCCAGCAACAGAGTTGGACAGACTCCACAGTGCCGCCATGGGCACAGCAAACAATAGCCACACATTTCCAGTCACTCACAGTTCTGCAAGACCTTGCATCCTAGTAGTACTAGTAAGCTAATTATTGCCAGTGAGCTTGAGCACTTAGTAGTTTTCAATTTGAAAATTGGACTTGTATGAATTTCATCGATTCCAAATACAAACGGAACTAAAAATAAACATGCAACATCATGATATACTAACATATGAGGTATTCACAGCATAATACTACGAGTTGAATCAAACCTAGTAAGGGGAAACATGAAGTAAATACTTAGAATCAATCAAGCTGGGCAGTGAGGCGCCGGCCTCTGCAACTTCTACCGAAATCACTGATGAATTTCCTGGTGTCAGCAGATCTCAGAATGCCACAACATCATTTCGTAGTATAAACAAACTTACCTTGCAAACTCCTGTGAGTTCAACCTGGAGTTGAACAACTTGGAGGAACAATGTGAGTCCATCCATGGTTCTTGAACACAACACTCATGCAACCTAGTCCAATGTCTGCATCATCCAGCCGCTTCTCTGCCTCTTCGGCTCGAAATCTGAGCAGACTTGCCAACATTTCATTTTCCCTTACAACACAATCTGCCAGTACTTTCTGTGCCCGATAAACTTCGCGTTTCGCTCTTACAAGGTTCATGATAAGGTTAGCTTCTGAGTTGGTTGGATCCTGTTTAGACTGTTCAAAAGTAAGATGCTTAAAACTTAAGAAAATTCAATTGACTTCACCATGGAATTGACAGCATTAAGAACCTCGTATAGATCAAAAATTCCGGGTGACAGTCCTTCGCAACGTTGTGAATTGGTTGTACCTGACGCGCTTGCTGACAATGATCGCAGAATGCTCATCATGGTAGTAGCGTGTAGGAGAGTCGATAGTATCAGAAAATGCCGATGTCGAGTCTCGACTCAATTCAATCAATCAAAGTCTTATGCTACCTGACCTCATGCCTCACTGTCCATCATGCGGAAAAGTCCTCAAGGACCATATGTCTGTTGCTCGTCATATGAGCCAGCCCCGGTCTGGCTGCAACACCTGGCTGGACAATATTATTAAGCTCAATACCATGATTCCGCCCACTGACGATCATCCCATGGACCCAATGGACAATAATGGACTACCTATGCCTTATTATGAGCCAGGACTCGGAGATGAGGACAATACATACATCTTTCATGGTCAAGAAGAGGACATCACGCTGGAAGCGCATGATGGAATTTGGGACCAGGGCAAAGATGCAAATAGTGAAGTCACAGATTATTTTCCCAATTCCCCACTCGCCTATGAGGACGGCTATATGTTCTTAGGTTTATTCAATGCTGACGAAAACAGCGTATATCGCAAAACAAATCTTTATTTTCCATTCAGTAGTCGGAGAGACTGGCAGGTTGCCGCATGGCTACTGCGTTCTGGGTTGAGCATGGGGAAGATTGACTCTTTCCTATCGCTTGACATGGTCAGTGTCCGAACTTTAAACTTGCTGCTCTCCCTTGACTGTAGGCCCTTTTAGATTAAAGATTTACCCTTGTCATTTCGCTCAGCCAAAGAACTTCGAGGTCGAGCAGAAATGCTACCCAGTGGTCCACATTGGAAGTCCCAAATCATTCCTATGTCGCATCCTACTAAGTCACCCGTAATTCTCTATTGGCGTGACCCACTAGAGTGCATCGCAAGTATCTTCAACCACCCGTTATTTCACAATTGTATGGACTTCACACCTTGCAAGGTGTACACCACTGCGGAGAGGCTGTGTCGCATCTATACTGAATGGATGATGGAAAATAACGCTTGGGACATGCAAGTGCGTAACAAATTGAATTTCAATGTTTTTGACTAATGTATTTTTGAAGTCGGCAATAACACGCGGCACAACTCTTCTCGGTACTATCCTATCATCCGACAAACGAACATTACTGCCTTGACAGGCGATCGTGTAGCTCATCCACTTCTTATTAGCTTGGCCAATATACATATGGATACATGACTAAAATCTTCATCGAGTTCTTTCGTTCTCACTGCCTTACTGCCGGTCCCGAAGTTTATTCATAAGAGGAAGCGGATGAAGGGTGTATTGGAGGGTCGCCTCATACACCAATGTCTAGACATCGTTCTCGAACCACTCAAGCAGGCTGCTCGAAAGGGCATCATGTTATCTGACCCCATTGGGCAGAGTCATTACTGTTTCACTGCACTGGCAAGTTATATTGCTGACACCCCGGAAGCCATGATGCTGGCGACTGTCGGTGGAAAGACGTCACCAGTGACCATGGCAATGTACAAGCACTTCAAGGATGACTTCCAGCATGAACCCCGCATGAAATCGACAACTCTTGCGCAGCTTGCCGTTGTCCGCTCACATGCCGATCCCATTGACCTCGAGGCTTTCTTCCATGAAGCGCAGAAGTTTCATCTGAATGGTGTTGCCAAACCGTTCTTTCGGAACTGGATACTCGCAGAGCCCTCCCATTTCTTTACACCAGAATCCCTACACCACTTGCATAAGGAATTTTTCGACCACGATGCACAATGGCTCATCTGTGCCGTTGGAGAATCCGAGATCAATTTCCGATTTTCCGTCTTACAGCCCGCCACTGGTTATTGTCACTTTCCTGGAGGCATCTCGAAGCTTAAACAGGTCATTGGTCGCTGTCAACGAGACATGCAGCGATATATCATTGCAGTGTGCGCGGACGCAGCACCTGCACGTATTATCACTGCCTTACGTGCGCTCATGCAATTCTGTTATCTCGTTCAGTCGCCACGCCTTGATGACGACAATCTCAAGCGCATCTCGGGCGCATTGCATGAGTTCCATGCAAACAAGGATGCAATTATTGATGCTGGGGCTCGCCGTGGAAAGGGCAATAGACCCATCACTCACTGACATATTCCCAAGTTAGAACTTATGCAGAGTGTTGTTCCCAGTATCCGTACATCTGGCGTCACAAGACAGTGGTCCGCGGATGTCACTGAACATGCCCATATCACCGAAATCAAAGACCCGGCGAGGTCTAGCAATAATAACAACTACAATCCTCAGATATGTCGACACCTGGACCGTGCAGACAAGTGTCGTCGGTTTGAGTCGCTATGAGCCTTTTAGATCATGAACAGTGTGCTGAGGAGCCGGAGGATGTAGACCCTGACGTTGATGATGATGTTGACACACATGACATTTCCCCTGAACCACAGCAGCCTGGACATATACATCCAATCACGAACTATTTCGCTATCGCCAGAGCTCTCCGGTGCAGAGACGATGGTTCAGTTCCTGTTCCATTGCGCTCATTTAGCGTTGGATGCACAGCCTTTAATCTTGGGTATGATCCGTCCATCAGGAGTATCACCATCGATGAAGTCGCTGTAAAATTTGGCTTACCTGATCTGCAACCGGCCATTGCTGACTTCCTTCAGCATGAGGCTACTCATGGACATCAGCACATTCATGCCATAGGTGGCCCAAGGAGAGCTGGACCTACGGCTGACCTTCCTTTCGACAAAATTCAAGTCTGGTTCAAGATTCGCTTGCAAGAGACAGACTTCCACAACACTCATACCATCAAACCCGCTCAGACACTCAATTGTGCTCCACCCAGTGGTCCCTGGACCCTGGGTCGTTATGACACAGTTATCGTGGAGACAACTGTGGGCTATTCATGGCCCAGTAGTCGTCTCTCAGGTGAGTTTTCTGTCTTGTGTAACGACACTCATTCTAACATCAACCACTTACCCTGCAGGTCACACCGTCACTCAGATCAGGCTTATCATGCGGCCTATTGGTAAGAGTGGCACGCAATGGTCATGGCAAGATCGATTTCTCACCTATGTTCAATGCTTTGACTTATCAAATGATTGCGATGCAAATACACAACTGCACCTGCTCAAGCGGGCAAAACGTTCGAATGGAGATCGGATGGGGGACATTATACCCCTCTCTCAACTGAGGGCACCCATTAATCTGGTCCCTTGTTTTGGAGTCGCTGTGGATAAGCGCCTCACCGCACATAATAGTATGGAACATGCCGCGGAGTTTTGGTTGAACGAGTTTTGGGAAAAAAGCACCTTCTTTGCCCTATCAGCATAGTATTTGGTTTGAGAAAAGATCAGTTTTTGGTTATGGTAGTGCATAGTACCTGTTTCACGCTGTTCTGAGTGTACATAGCAACCATTGTTCGTCCTGCACACTATGCCATCCGCTTGTCATTTTCGAACAATTGACCTTGGGAAGAAGCTGTCATCCTTTGTGACGGCTCCCCCAATACATGACACTCAAACGATGGACAAACTCACAAATTCTGAACTCAATCGTTTGATACTCGAGGAACATCAACCTGCTAACAAAGACAAACTTGGCCACCTTTTGACTCATATCTTCCAATCCTTTACCACTGAGATTCCTGCAGCGGAAGAGCTTGCAATTCCTTTGAGCAGTGTTCCTCGAAGTGCGAGGCTCAATGGTCTTCGTACTTTCAGTGTCGAACCAGATGGGGTTCCCATGATCAACCTGTACGATACTGAAAAACATCGGTGGAATTGGGTGCTTCCATCATCATATGAATGCAACCGTTCACCTACAAAAAACAGGGAGCAGAAAGGAGTCGAAAGTGACAAGGGAGAGTGGATCTTGGTCAATGAAGCTCCTACAAATGTGGAGAAGTTAGCCCACCGAACCATCAATACCCCAACCACCGAAGACGTGAACATCACCGAAAACAGCCTCTCAGAGTCCGTATCGTCTGGTGGGGCAGGGTCATTTGATGACCAGATGCCATCCAGCAATAGCAAGGGTTCATCGGACTCATCCAATGATGGGAATGAAGCGATGGCCGGTGAGGAGGACTTCAATCAATCTTCGACAGAACATATCTTCGGATTATTCTTTAATGTCGTCTCTGTTGCCCTCCTTGCAAAACAGCCTGAACTTGCTCAAAAACACCATTTGTCACACAACTGGAGCGCAGCAAACTCATCACACCCAGTATGTGGTGAAGATATCAAACGCAAACCAGATCTGGCCTTATTGGACGATGTCGAGGCCCGATGGGACACCATCAAGGCGGTATGTGAGCTGACTGCCAGCCCGTACACACCTTCGGGTACCCTTGCGAAGACTCTCGACACTAAAGCATACCTACTTCTGAAACATCAGCCCTGGAGAAGATTTGCTCTGATGATCTCACTGTGCGCCGGCTATCGCGAACTTCGCATCCACTTGTACAACCACTCAGGTGGTGTCGTAAGCACTTGCACTCATATCGACCAACAACCTAACAAGTACTTACAAATATTCTCGAGTGTGGTCTTCGGTGAACTTGAGTGTGTTGGGTACGACCCTTCAATCAACATCTTTAGGCACACACTTGATCAAACAATCAAATCGCACTCGAATTGGCTCCCCATCCACGTCCTGAAGGACTTAAAAGATCCGGAAGTCAAGGCTGCCAGTGAGGGAAAGGGTGAGGGCGAGGGCGAGAGTGAGGTTGAGAGTGAGAGTGAGAGTGAGAGTGAGAGTGAGAGTGAGAGTGAGAGTGAGAGTGAGAGTGAGAGTGAGAGTGAGAGTGAGAGTGAGAGTGAGAGTGAGAGTGAGAGTGAGAGTGAGAGTGAGAGTGAGAGTGAGAGTGAGAGTGAGAGTGAGAGTGAGAGTGAGAGTGAGAGTGAGAGTGAGAGTGAGAGTGAGAGTGAGAGTGAGAGTGAGAGTGAGAGTGAGAGTGAGAGTGAGAGTGAGAGTGAGAGTGAGAGTGAGAGTGAGAGTGAGAGTGAGAGTGAGAGTGAGAGCAAGGGCAAGGGTGAGGGCGAGGGCAAGAACGAGGGCGAGGGTCAGGATAGTGAGACCACATCCTCTCAGGACACTGTAAGGATTCCTATCCTCTACGCGCCGACCATACTTCACAAATGGAGACACTCAAATGGATCATATGTTCGAGGTCGTCCACATGATTCATTTTGATGCGAAGAGTGCAACTCTTCGCATCCGAATTGTGTGGATACATTCCTTTCATTTCTCTTACTCTTTCGTTATCTTACCTTGTGCTCAGACTTCACGATTCCCGTTTCTTCACCGATATCTTTCAACTCGCCATATGCTCCCTGTTCTTGTTTCGGCCTAGTCAACTACTCGAAAACGTATATATATTGCTCATGTATACTCATACCTACAGCGAATTCTATCCTAAGATCCCCGCTCCAAGTACTTCAGAAGCCTCCTATAACGTGTCCGTCTCAAGCATCTCATTTCTCGTTCCTCTCGTCTCTTGTCTAAACTAACTCCGTTCACAATTCCCTATCGAACTTGACGTTAGCCTTACATATTTTGGAGCCCACCACGAGGGAATTGTTTTGAACAAATCCCGACGCACCGAGTATTGATTCGTGGGTCTATACTGACCTACTAGTCAAACTCTCTTTTCTAGTACCCGGTCTTTTGACCACCTCCTTTCGCCATTACGAAATATTACCATCCCAACGCGCAGCTAAGCCTCGAACAAAAGCCATCTGCGCTGGCATCGTCTAGCAGTGTCACTCCCCAAATGAAGGGCAAGGGCAGAAGCCGTTGTAGGACACGAGCTGGCGCTGGGCTCGTATCGAGCTATTTTACAGTACACGTCAAATACCCGTCACATGCTAATCACTTCCCGATGTTATCCGACGCTAACCCGCCAACCCGACGTTTAGGCCGCATCGAACCCGATGTTTTCCCGCGCACTTGTCCTATCCGTGTCCCGTCCTGTCTTGCTAGCCCCACTAGGTGTGTAGTTCATTATTTCGCACATTACTCACGTCGTAGCCAGCGCTATTACATGTTTTCCCATAGTCCGCAGCGCCTCATGTTTATTTACATGTACTTCGGATCCGAAATACTCCGCCGCTACTTTCGCCTACGGGTTCCGCATTTCTACGTACTTACATATATATTGGACTGACCTCGAGCATTATTCATTATCCAAGTAGAGGGGAGCAGTTCCCCGACGCTTAGTGGTCAAACCCGATATTTCGTAGTTCTTAGTTGATATTGCGAATATCATCGCTCTTTCATTATCCATATCAGTCATTGTTATTATCGCGCACACCGCTCGCTCTTCCGACGCTCGCTATAGTGTTACTATTAATTTCCAACATCCCGAACCCGAACCCGATATCCCGAAACCCCGAAAACATCGGACCCGACGCTTTTGCGTCGGACATCGTAATTATACCTTTGGACATTGTTTCCCGCGCTCGGACTATTGACCCCACATCACTCACTTACCCCCAAGACTATTCCCAGACCGCAGACCCCTGGGTCGAACGCACTTGTCAGGCAAGTATAGCAGACTAGGCAGTGCAAAGACCACAACACAAATATATCAGTTTGGAGCAATCTTTGTTTTGTTCCTCTCAGTATTGTTGTTTCTACACCGTGCTCACACTATTGATGTTCCTCGTACACCACCCTTAGCAGAATTCGCTGATCCACCCTTCCTTCGCACCCCAAGTCATCACTACCGCGCCCAGGTCAGCCTAGAGACATCGGAAGACCCATCAGAATCCTCTCTCTCGGACAACGATACTATAAATCGCACACACCGCTCAAACTCGCCCCCTTTTCCGTCACTCCCTCCTCAAAACATATTCACTCTCAGACCGGCCAGATTTAATCCAGAAACTCCTATCTTTCCTTCAATACTCCCTGAATCTACCAAGCCAGCCCCTTCAGCACTGACATTACCTCCGATACCCCAGCCAGAATTCCTTAAACCACCTTCACTTCCGCCCAAACAGTCCAAGCAGTCCGCAAGCTCCTCTAGCATCCCATCAGTTCAAATTGTCGCTCCCAATTCCTCAATCCAAATGCCTGCTATTGCTACTGCGCCAGCACAGCCTCTGTATGCACCACCATCACACAACACTCAAACACCTACCTTTTCGACTATCCCCGTCATGTCCAACACAAATAAGGGAATAGGAGCCATGCCCGGCCCCGGATCCAACAAAGCTCTGTTTTTCAATGGAGAAACGTTGGAGCTTCTAGAATTTTTCTAGTTTTTCGAGGACCTGGCAGCCACATACGCACTCACAGACGCAGACAAGTGCAAAGCTATCGTCCAATACGTCGACTTGCAAACAAAGCGCTTCTGGCTAACCCTCACCAGATACGAGAGCAAGGACTTCACGCTATTCAAAGCCAGCATCCTAGCGCAGTATTCAGGAGCAGCCAAGGGACAACAATATCGTACTCTGTTCGTGATCTTGAACGAATTGTCGTTGTGAACGTCGAGAACGATATTACGACGGAAACTGAGCTAATACAGTACTATAAACAGTTTCGTCCGGTTGCTCTCTGGCTTGTGGCTAACAGCAAGATTTCAGCGCAGGAAAGGGACACTTACTTCTGGCAAGGACTTCCTACCTCCACTTGTCGTGCCATAGACCGACGTCTGGAACTCCAAGACCCTAACTATTCCAGAACAGAGCCCACGGACTTTGAGAAAGTCCATCAAGCCGGACGTTTTGTGTTTTTAGACGATCCCTTCGACACTGATCTCAATGAGCCTATCGCAGCCAGGATCCAAACCATTCGCGAATCCAGAAGCCTACCTCACAAAGGTCGAGCGAAAGTTCCCATACTGATAGAGGACTCTGATGACGAAGAAGAAAAACGAGACGTGAGGCAAGAGGTTCAGACCAAACGAGTAGCGTTCATGACGCCCCCACCTGCCAAGTCCACCATAGATGAAGTCGAGGAGCTCGCACGCAAGATGCACGGCCTTGATATCGGTGATATAGCTTACTCAGGATGTTATTCAAGACTTGCATACATCGCTCCAACAGTAGCCCAAGTCTGGCCTCCTCCTAAGGCGCTGCACCTCATCAGTACAGCAACTGCTCAGCCCCCGCTATCGTATCTTCCCCTTCCTCCTCTCCCAGTCTCAGCTCCCTTCCCCTCGAACTCGACATGTTTCTTTTGTGGAGGGTCTCATGTAATGCGTGTTTGTTCCACAGCTGGTGAATATTTACGAGCCGGAAGAATCATTCGAAATGGTCAATATTTTGCTTATCCTGATCAGTCACGCATACGACGTACCGGAAACGAAACGTTCAAGCAAG